ACACAGAGTGTTGTTTTAGTAATGCTAGCAATGCCAATAAGTAATACAAGATGTTAAGCTTCATAATTATTGTCCATTTAAAAAAGAAAAAGAAAAACTAAGACTAGTTGTTATACATCAATGACTCTCTCATATAAGTGGTATAACATAAGCACTCATCTAAAGAGAAATAATTAGTGATTAGTCACAATAAACATGGTAGCAAAAAAAAAATTAATACTGTCCTTACAATCCATCTTACAACTTTTTAAAGGGAACTCAGATTGTTTAAAAAATTCAGAAATTGGTTTCCAACTTCTGAATTTATATAGCCAAAAAGTATAGCTCACTGTGAGGACTTTAAACCAAAACGATGTATGAGATAGAATGAACACCATAACTACAAATAACCAGGGGCCTTGTGCATAATGTGTAGATGCGCACAAAAAATGCGCGGCGTCATATTTTACGCACAAGTCGGCATGTATAAAATTTACTTTGCATCAAAGTTTTAGGTAAATATACGCACACTTTTTTGATGGCAAACCTTTTCTGTGGACAATATCAAAGTATAAAGAGTCAGAACTCATCTAAATACACTGAAATTAGACTACATTCAATGTTATTTGGACCACGAAGTTTCAAACCCGACATTTTTTCATAATTTTAATATTTTATTGTTTAAATGTAAATTATGAAACTGAACCACATTTATCCTCAGACAATAGCATAACACACATACAAAATAAAGAAAATAAAAATAGAAGTGCAGTCGTATGTAAATAGTACTTTTCCTCAGATTCTGTCTCAAAGATTGGTCTGTGCACAGAAGGGCATGAAATGCATCTATGGGGTAATTTCATTCTGATTGAAAAAGAAAAAAAACGGGTTGGATCAGCAGATTAACTCCAGACAGGTTTGGTTATTTTTAAGGTGATCAAGGTGTGTATTATTCAGGTATTCAAGTAGCTGCACGAAGGTGAGCCGCATAAATGTGGGACGCTTTGGCTGTGTTGGAGAACATCGCCAATGGAAGGATTCAGAGGGAGCGATTGATCAGAGATCATATTGATCTGCTGGGAAATGTCGATGATGGTTTATGAGTGTTTAGATTGCTCAGCCTGATCATCCTGGAGCTCTGAGCAAAAGAGCCGTGCGGTACCGGCACCGGTCCTGCTGCAGTCATCCTTCAGTCGAGCCACCTGCCGGGTGAATGCACCTTTCTGGTCAGATAGCATCTCTATTTTGTAAATGTACAATTTATGCACATGATTCCACTATTTGGAATAAACACCCGCTATCAGCCTGGCCGAAAGCGCTGCTGTTCACACAGGCATTTACACAATCTCTCTTTCTTTCTTTTATTAATTTATCTTCTTTAAAACGTATTAATTTTATTTCTGTGAGGTGACCTTATGTGTCCTGAAAGCACCTTTTAAATGAAATATATAGTTGCTATTATTATTATAAATACTTATTCTGCTACAAACAAGGACGTTGCCATAGTTATTGCGGTGGCTGACTTCCGGGTATTTAAACTAATCTACATATGTATTTATGGGTGTTGACAGGACTACCTCAAGTTCCGCAAATTGTGACGTACGAAGGAAAGATACGCAACCACGTGCGTACGCGCGGCTTTGTGCGTACAAATTTTTATTGATTGATTGATTGATTGATTGTGCGTCGGGCATTTTTCTAAAACATTTTCCGTACGCCAAGTTTTAGTGTGAAAACTGCGCACTCAGTTCAGTCATCTCCCCCAGCTGGATTAATTACCGCCCCAATAAAGGCGACCTCGGTGCACCACAGCAACAAACTGCACACCATTAGCTCACTGGTTTCCATTCACCGTATCAGACTGAAATTAGTGAGGGAGGTTCAACCAGAATAAGTCAGACCCATTTCTAATACAACTAATTTATGACCTAATCAGACGAGAGAGAGAGGAAATAAAAAAGTAAACAATATCCTCCCTGATCAAGTCACAACTACATGACCTCTCCTCTGCTGTTGGCTGACACGTTCACCAGACCATGAGGTGGAGAGTTCAGTGATTTGTCACTTACCTCAAATTAAAAAGGTTTCCACAACTTCTGTCAAAGCAATAATAAATATTTACTCATTAGCAGGCGGGGGCGGTATGCAGAGCGCCATCCTGCAGCTATGAATATGAGAAGAAGAAGCAACTTTTGATTTGTCGCCAATTGTGTAATAGTCCGGGTTATGACACCGGTTTCCATCGGCTTTTGTGAGGTTCCACGTGTTTAGAGTTTTTTTTATTATTATTGTTATTATTATTATTTTTAATCTACAGTCACTCTTTTTGTCTTCATTACTGGGAATTTTAAAAACAATCCTATTTTAGTTCTGAAACGAACGGACAAGGATCGGGGTCTGACTAAGTCCTGGACGGCGAAGAGCGGCTGTGAAAACCGCACTGAACGTAAACAAACGCATAAACCGAGCTTTATATCCTGACACATGAGCGAACATTACTCTAGCTCCAACCGTGCAGCGAAGCGGAGCCGCCACGAACTAATCCCCGGTTTGCGTAACACTCCGGTCTGGAGCCAAACGCGTCGCCGAAAAGCTCGAGAGTTTCTCCGCGGTGTGAGCCCGCGGCGAGCCTCGTCCCTCCCGGCGGGCCGCCGCAGAGCGAACCTTGTCCGTAACGGGCCGGAAAATGTGAGCAAAGAGCGAAGCTTACCTGCTGCTCTCCTCTTTGTGTCAGGCTCGGACTGCGCTCAACGCGGAAGGAAACTTTACGCCATGAAGGACCGAACCAACTCCGTCCAATCAGAGGGGGGGAGGACTCGTCCAGTCCCAGTCACTCCATCATCCTCACGTCTTCCCTTTCAGGGAAGTTACAAATCTGCTTGTCATGTTTTAGGGTGGGCTTTTATTTGGGTTATCGTGCAAGTTTTTAAATGCACGAATAATATAATATAATATTTTATTATTTGGGAGCGATCAGCGGTGATCTCTAATTGCATGTTATTAAATACTGTCAAGGTGCAGCAGGCAAAAGGTCATGGTTATGCAACTCAACCAGCTGAACTGAGTTGGAAGGCAGATTAATCAAAAGCGTCCTCCTCCCAAGTTAAACAGTGTTTATGTTCACAATGCCAAGGACGTGAGGCTGACACAACCCTGCTGCCTGATGTGAGGCCTTCAGCCTGCAGCCACATTTGCACTTGTTTTACTAAACCAAAAGGTAACATGCACAGCACAGTATGTGACAACCATGAAAGTAAGCGAGCAAATCAAAAACTGATTTATAAGATCCATCACTGACTAGTGAAAAGTGACGCTGTCTGCAGTGAGATTTTTAACTTTCAGGGGTTTTTTATAGGCGAAATGTTTCTTTCACAAATCTGCCTGTCAGTTCATTCCAGGAAGCCTTGTGGAGCTTTCTAAGTTTCCTTTCCTTTGAACCAAAACCTTCGCTTCAACCATTTGTCAAGAAAACATAACCTTGATGTTTTAAATTGAATTCACTTTCTAATGACACATTGAAATCTTATAAAACCTCCATTTATTTTTACTTTTAAGATAGTTTTTTTTTATGTATTTCATACTGTTGTCCTTTTGACTTAAGTTAATTACAGTGCTAAAATTATAGGGTAATAAATTGTAGGGTAATTTAAAAAAATTACTCTATTAAAAAATAATAACAACCTTTTCATCTTTTAATATAACCGGTAAAAACCGGTTAGGAGGTCAGAGAATTGATATAAATGAATATAGCATGTAAAATAAAGTGTTCCTATAACTGTGGTACAAGAAAAAAATCACACCTTTAAAATTTGTTTAAAAAAATAATTAAAATTTTGTAGGGACTTCTAGCATAATTGAGATTTTGAACTTGAGACGAGAAAACACAGTTCAGGTTTCTTACAGAATCCAAAGCAGGTAAATGTACAGTGAGAATCACTTGCCAACTTTAGCTTCATCAGACAACCAGAGGAGCACTGCAAAACTTTTATGCAGTGCCCACGTTGTGCACACCCCTGGATGTTGTGCACATCCATTTCCATTGATTTGGCATGTAAATAAGCAATATGAAAACATGTTCAGAGTGCAACTAAACACTAACTTAGTAGTCATTAATAAAAGGAGTGCTTTGTATTTAGCAGCATCTCAAAGTACATTTTTGTAAGACTGACAATTATATTCCTGTTTAATCCATTCCTTTATGACGGTTTCTCTCTTTTATTTGCATTTATCCCCACATTGCATGGGAATAAATGTGTGGTTGCCCATCTAACAGTCAAATTCAAGCTTAGATCATACATTTTTTATTAGAGCATAAATAGAAACTGTATGATATGATGCAATAACCATCACGCCTCTGACCTTTGTCAAAGTTCCTCAGTACAACTCATTCTGCTCTTTAGATCAATAATTATGTCAACTAATTACATTTTGACATGGAGAACTAAGATGTTTCTTCTTTATAATACACAAGTCTGGGGTTAAAGATGGCGACCAAAACATAAGACTATGTAAAAAAAAAAAAAAAAGCAGTCAGTGACTGGGAAGTGGATCTCTACCCTCTACTTATACTTCTACCACTTGATTTTATTTTCATCCTACCTGACATTGATATTTCATCTCATTACAGGGCAGCACCCCTCTCAGTTTGAAGGGCTGCACCTTCAGGCACCTAATTGTTTGTGTGTTGTTCTTGGGTGAGCTGCACTAAAATGTGAATTTCCCTCTGGGATCAATAAAGTAATTTCTTTTAGTGAAACATGGTGGAGGCGGTGTGATCCTGTGGGGCTGCTTGTTGCTACAGGATCTGATAAACCTGCTTTAATTGACGGAACTGCTTACCCTCTACCGTAAAATCATGAAAAGATAATAGCTTCTCAAAATAATGAAAATCAGATTTTGTATTTAGTCAGTTTGTTGTTGTCTTAAAGTTTACAATTTAACAGAAGAAATCTGACAGCGGGCTTAAAAGACTCACATAAAGATGTTTTGGTAAAAACTAAATTATTTATTGAACAGTCATTTCATTCTTGTATTACCATTTTCACACATACATATTCAAGTACTTCCAAATTTTAATGCGACCATAGACATACTTCCAGCTTTGATTTAATAGCATTAACATTTTCTATAGTAAATATGAAATCATATGGTTTTTTTTTTATTATATTCTTGGATGTGACAGGAAGCGCAGTCAGAATTAGCCTTCTTTTTCGTGAGACAGCATTTCATTCCATGTATATTTTTATCCGTCACATGCTCTTTGGTTTCTGATTCCTGCTTTTCAACTTGTGACGAACAACTGCGAGGGTAGTGAAGAAATTCCCCATGAACAGAATGAGGAAGCAGACACCACACACCCGGACCTGACATGACAAGAATCAATAAAAAAGTAGTGAATATTAATATTATAATATTGCTCTATAATGCAGAAGATGATGGTAGGAAAATGTCATGCAACTCTGAATTTTTATTGACCATTTGTGTTTAGATTTTATTTAAGGGGTAACAGTTTTATACATTCATTATAGTCTGAGGGTGTGAATGATGAGCACATGAAGGATGAATTGGTTGCGAAAGAGTGACACAGCAACATTTAGCAGGACGACAGTGATGCAGCAATATCTGGTGACTGAGTAGACTGACCTGCCATTCCCTGCAGTCTGGGAGCTGAGCCATTCTGAACAAAGACACGCTGTTGAAGAGCTGCCAGAACTGAAGACAAAGCAAAAAGATTAAGCTTTCAAGGGAAACAGGAGAAGCACGCATTTTAGTGGATTTCCAGTGTAAATTTCCGAGTTACCCTTAAGGATTTCTTGTGATCTTACTTTTTTGTTACACTTAAATATTTCAGATCATTATTCAAATGTTAATGTTAGATAATAATAAAACAACTCATCACAATAAAAAATTTAAAATTCAGTTTCCAAATGAAGGTTCAAATTTTTTTTTCAAACACGGTAACAGCAAAAAACAAACAAACAAAAATTAAACAATTGTCCAAGATATATTTGCTCCTGCAATAAATTAAACCTGGTTTAAAAACAGGTTTTTGTATTTTACCGTATTACCACGCTGATATTAAATCTTTGATGATCCGAAATATGAGCTAGGATAAAAACATAAAGATGTAAATAAATAAAAAAACAGAAGCAGTCTATTCAACAGCACTAATTGCTGCATTGTGTCAAGGAAAATTATTATCACCCACATTAAACTCTCGCCCAGATTCTCAAAATCAACTAACTTTTAAGCATTGATTCTATGACACTAGCACTTTTCACAATTCAAACAAGGACATATCACAATTACCATTTGTTGCCAACCTTGCACAAACTGGAAACATTTCGGGTTCACAGATTCTACTCACATGACCAAAAAACAGGAAGGGTAAGAGAAACGTTAGCCCTTTCCACATCCAGGACTGGAATCCCTCTTCGAAGAGAAGAAATGTAAACAATTTAAGATGTTTGTTTTTTGTTCCCATAAGTACACTTTCATTTTATACATTTACAACCATGTGCTGCATTGTGGTTATCTGTGTTAATTTGCATTTTGTGTCCTTGATGTGTTTGCATCTCACCAACAGTCAGATCCATGTTGTGTCTTTCTCCCAGCGTGCGAAGTCTGTACAGACATCCACTCTGATAGTAGTACTGCAGACACTGGACGAAATCTATAGGAGGGTCCATGACAAAAACAAACTGTGAGCATGTGAGAAATCAGAACTATGTGATTCTTCTGTATAAACTTTGAACGTACTTTGATACAAGGAATAGGCAAGAAATTGTCCCCTGAATGTGTGGTAAAGGATCCCGTCTGGCCTGGAGACGTAAAAGTTGAGAAATGTGAGGTTTGATGAGAACAAATTTAGTTTGAGAAATTTTTTTTGAAGGTTTTGTTTTTAAGCTGTACTTACCATGTCAGCATCACACCGGACAAAAAGGCTGAAATGTAGTGATGAAAAACCCACCATCCTTTGATCCTGATTCCAGATACATCTCATTCAGTTTTGAGTTTCAAGTTAAGTCAAAAATGCATGAACACATCTTCACCAGTAGTGCCAATAACTATGGAGAATTGGGACCAACCTGGATCCATTTGTGATGAGGACGCTTTCTCTGATTGTTAATGTGCCGTAAAACCAAACCAGCAGGAAGTTGAAGATTGCGTCCAGAAATCTGAAGCAAAAGATTCAAACAAGATTATGCTTGAACATAAAATATGAATATACTGAAAATGGGTGATTTCACATTTAACACTAATCTGATGATGTTTGCTTCACCTGTAGCTCACGAAGAAAAAACATATGAAAGAGAGCAGCAGTAAGATCACTGTAAGGTACAGCTTGAACTTCTCATATTCATCCTTGTAGGCAAATCTGGGAATGAGGTGTTTACACAACATTATATAACTTTATACGTAGCGCAACAGAATAAATTAAAAACTTTATTATCTGATTAAGAAAAATAAAAAAGAAAAGAATTTTCACAAGAAGAAATCAGAAAAGAAATATGTTGCATCTAACAAAGAAATCTGAACTCCGATGCTTACTTTGACTGCTTGCTCAGAAGAGTCACATTCACATTTCCAAGAACCAGACTCAGGTATAACCTGCGATTTGAAACCAAGCCATAGAGTATTTGTTTAATTTTTGAAACTCATGTTACAGTCAATGTTCACAGTTTTTAGCTGAAAATATATCAAAATTCATGTCATCACCCATTTTTTTGGGGAAGGAAAGCATCCATTTCAGAGAAAGCATGTTCTTGGGTCCTGACTTTCTCTTTTATGTTACCTAAAGTCTTTGCATCTTCTGCTGATGATCCCTTTGTGCACCTGATACATACAGAAGAGTAAATATTATCATTATCAGCTGCGTTTATCCCTCTAAGATATCTTCATGACCCTACCTCTTCTGTCTACCTTCACATGCATGCAAATTTCAGGGTGTGTGGATAGTTACTTATTGACTTGGCTGGACATCTCCTTCAGTCTTTTCCTCTGACGGGCGATAGATGACGAACAGCTGTTCTGGAGTTTGGAGATTTCATCCAGTTTCTGTAAATATTTTTTGTGTGCCTCCTGGGGAAAATGGTAATAGAAAAGGTTTAAACATCTGAATGACTTAACATAAAGAATATGTAAATACGTAAATAAATAAAAAGCGTATGTAATTTGTGGCAAATTAGCTTGGCTGCTAGTTAGTGGATGTTAAAATTCATCCCGAAAAGCTGAATGTTATGGATTTTGCAGAATCGGACAAAATATTTCTTACCTGAAGAGTCTGGAAATCTTGCTCCAGAGATTTCCATTCCTCCTGAATTTCTATCAGTGATCGAGGCATTTTGTTTCCCTAAGATTAAACCAAGACCCAGCTGAAAAATAAGCTGTACCGGCTAATTGTTTATGCACTATGAAATGTCTAAAGTGACTCTGCTATCACCTTGGTGTGAATCACTTCTCCATCAACTCTGTGTTACATAAGCTGGACTTTGACTTGTAACTATCAGTCACTCAATCTGATTGTCATTATTGCAGACTCTTGTATATAATGCGAGGTCAGAAGTATTACCTTTGCTTTGGTTCAACCTTCAAGTTAGACATTGCTCTCATCACATCTACAACCTTAACACAGTTTGTTGGAGACACAACTGCACATTAGCAACATCTGGTGGACTGGGAGAATCTCAATTCTGCAACTGAGGCTAAAGGTTAAAATGTTGACGGCCCAGAGTTCATTTATTATATTAATAGCCATATTAAATTCAGGCTTTTAATTCTTAAGTATTTTTAAGTGTTTAGACTTATTGGAAGTAGTTTTGTATTCAAGAAGGAGAAAATTACTTTTTGTGCTTAAGTACATTTCAAAACTTGTACTTTTTAATTTTTCTTTAGTAAAACAGTTCAACCTCGGGACGCCATATTGGGGGGTGAAAGTTATGACAATTCTAAGGGCCCCTGACGACCAGAGGGCCCTCCACAATTTATTTATTTATTTATTTTTGGCTCATGGAAATAAAAGAAAAATGGCGCCCTGCCTATTACAAAATTAATCATATTGTATTTTTGAAGATTGTTTTCAGCAGTAAAAATTTTATGTTCTCACTCCCAGAACAAAAAACACGTTCATATTTGCCCAGAACCCCCCTGGATCCGCATGAAATGGTTCGTTCCTGTGTGGAGTTTAACCGTGACGGTGTTCAGCAGCAGACAGTAGAAGATACGAACTACTGTGACAGTTACTATGCTGCTAAGAAAAATAATAAAATCAGGTTTTCATAAATAAATAAATTAGTGAGAGGGAGATAGCGAAAAAGGCAAGAGTGTCAGTTTACAACCCAGTTTTTCTCATAGGTGGGTAGACTGAGATTATCAAACCTTTGGCATAGTTAGCTTAGCTACAGACTGCTGTCTGCCTCCAGTTCACTAACAGTTTATGTGTATTTTGCTCGTTGCTTTTGACTGCTGCTCGTGGGGAGAGACGTTTCAGTAAGATAAAGCTAATAGAAAAAAATAAGCAAATTACTGGCACACTGTATGTGTGCTGTTGGATGTTAAATTCATGAGCAGTAAATATTGTGCTAGTATCAGTATTGGACCAAAGAAAGGAAGGCAAGCGTTTAAAATTGCGATGCTTTTGATGGACCCAACATTTGTAAAAGCAGCTGCGTGGAGGGTGGTGGGGCAGTTACATTTTTTGTCAGGGGGCCCCAAGATTCACCTGTACTTTTGTCTTTACTGGAATATTTCTTCACTTCTACTTGAGCAGAGAACTTTTGACTCAAGAGTGGAGAGGATGGAGCAGCAAGGTGGTGCTGCTCTTTATGTTAGAGCAACTAACATAAACACGCAATCACACTGGCTTGTGGTTGAAGAACAGGATGGCATCCCACAGCAGCGTGTGACTAAACTGTGTGGCCAGCATCCAGCAGGGTGAGCTTGCTGTCTCTCCCAGCATGAGAAGGAGGAGTCAGGCTAATTGTTTCTGCACTGTTCTCCCTGTTTAAACTGTCAATATAACTTGTTTGTTTAGACCTCAGTCATCCAATTGTCCTGTTTCTAGAGTGTGGGTGGACATAAGTGTGCTTTGAGTGACCTTTGCTCTGAGTTGCGCGGTTTCACCTGTAGTTGTGCCTGAACAGCCTGTCCTTTTTTTTAGATTTATTGATCTTCTAAGTGATGTGACTTTATTATTATTTTAAAAACCCATTAATATGGATGTTAGTGCATTAGATAACTATGTACATTTTTGTATGGCACTATAATTTACTGTTTGAAATATATTGCCGTTTTTACCTCTTGAAACAATTAAAATCTTTATAAGCAGCGACAGTTTGATAATTGTTTACTACTAAACATGGCTAACTTGTTGGGCTAAAGAAGACATTGTCAATATACACATGCTACATACAACATAAAACAATGGCATAATGTCTCCACTTCACTTTGCCAGCATGAGGGCAGCAGTAATTCAGTTAACAAGCGAATGAAAAAAAGAAGTACTTCAGGTCTTGTCTGCATTTTGAACTGTCCTGCACTCAGGGGCGCTGTACAGAGGGGAAAGTTATGACAAATCTAAAGGCCCATAACCCCTAGAACTGATACTACTTATCAGAATTGGACCAAAGAAAGCAAGGCAGTTACAAGCCTTTAAAATTGTGATGCATTTGATGGGTCAGATAGACCCATCAAATGCAAGTCTGATTGGTTCCAATTAATTAAATTTGTTTTAACATAAGTGTTTTGTATTGCTGTTAAATTTCTATTTTACTTTTATTCTTGATACTTTCACAGATGTCACAAGTAGAATTAGTAGTTGAGTAACATTCAATAAACTTAGCTGTTATCCAGTTTCCAAGCGTGTGATATGAGAGGACTTGCCTCTCACAATATGGCGGAGGCGCAGACGTGTCGTTTGTGCTACCTGTTTATGACGGAGGCCAGAGCGCAAGAACACGTTGACGGAAGCCTTAGTTTTTAATCTAGCTTTACATATTTGAGAATACCTCGAATTATTATTAATGTTATACACGTTTAAACTGTTCAGTGTGAGATAAAACAGCCATGAGCGTATTTTCTTTGATAACATTACTCATGTCACTCAGCTTTTATTTTTGAAATTTCTTAGCGGAAGTGCTCATTTCGTTGTCTGATTCGCAGAAGCGAAAAGCGCATGCGCGTACCGTTGACAGCCGCCGGTTGGTGTTCCAGTTGTGTTGTAGACTCAGGGCATATGTAGACCAGAGGCCAGCACATCAGTTTACCTCCACAGACCGCTGACCTGCACCCAGCTGAGGAGGTCAGAGAAACGAACCGAGAGGAATCACAGTGATTGATGACGAAGGTAAGAACCCGCCGACGGAGTTTGACCCTATCAACGTTACCATTAGCTCAGTAAAGCTAGTTGGACATCGACATGAGTTCTTGATTTGGTCCATAAGGCTGACTTTATTTTAGGCTTTAAAAAAACAACAACATAGAAATATATATGTCTTTAAGAACAATCCGTGCTCAATTATCTTTATTGCATAAGTCCTAATTATGATGTTGTTTGAATGGCATCACTTAACAAGCGAGCATCTAATTATCGCTGACCAAATATTTCCTCAGATAATTTTCAATAATTAACTGTTTATAATTTTATGAGATTGACTCGATCAGCGCTTGAGTGTACTTTACAGAATACGCATACGAGGTCAAATTTATGTTTTTAATCAGGACAAAAATAGTCAACATCTATGAACTGTTTCCCTGTTTTTTAAATGTAATCTTCCTCTGAAGCCTCTACCCCTTCAACATGCTGTAGTAAATCCCCAGAAGTGGTTCGCATCTCCCTGCTCCTCAGATTGTCCTTCAGTGCTTCCATCTAGTGACAATTTGCTCCTGATAAAGACAGACCGAGTCAGGGTCTGTTGAAACCCCTGGCTGGCTGTTGATGCTAACTGGGAACTGTTTGTTTTGCAGTGGACTGATAGGAGATGTGTGCCGCTATCTACATCGTGTCTACAGTGACGGGGTATGTGCTCACCTCCGCCCTGCTGCTCAAATGTCCAACTCTTCTGCACCGGAGGAAGAGGGAGAGGTTCGTCAGCAAGCACATATCCCATCGTGGAGGTGAGTTCACCCTTCGCTGCCCCTTAATGGGGAAATTCAGGTGTATCAGCAACAAATTGACAAGTGAGTAGAAGCAGGCAGATAACCCAATATAGAAATGAAAAGTAAAAAAAAAAACTGAAGTGGGCTCTATAGTAAGATCAAATGAAAAGAAAAAATGTACAGAAATGCACAAACTGAGTGCACAAACTGTGCCTGAAAGGAAAAAAAAAAACCAGACTGTTTATAATATAATAAAGCTGAAAGCTGTTATGGATTACAGTGGTAATGTTCATATTCAATTTCTGATGTCATTTCTACAAATTTAAATTCATTTTATAAGATTAAAAAAAATACTAAATAACATTCAGGCCTTGTAAAATATTTTATGAGTAAATATCTGTAGTTGTTTTTGCTCACCTTTAATCTGATGCACTCATCAAAATCCTTTGTGACCAGAAGACGCATTCAGAAATCAACTCCTGATCGATATTTGTGTGTGATTTAATCTCAGTGTTGGAGAAATTTTAATGTACAAGCAGCATTGGGAAGTTTGAATACATTTGAAAAGCACTGTAAATTACATTTATTCAGTCCCAACATAAATCTGATTGCAGATCTGTGAAAGGACGCCATCATTAGGCCCTATCCTAAATTAAAATGTGCTCGGGGGTATGATTAATTTTGGGCTTAACTGAAAGTGTCAACAATGGTGCATTCATGAACCCCCAGAATTCCTTGTAGATTATTTTAGCTCTGTAAGACAGAAAAAAACATTACAGCCTTCTTGATGTTTCTGTGTATTGTCTTGTAGGCGCTGGAGAAAACCTGGAGAACACCATGGCAGCTTTCAAACAGTGAGTAGAATCCTCTTTTATGTCCATGTTGGACTCGGGATGTGAGCATTTTTATGTTTACCGAACAGGCGCTCCGTCACAGTGAGGAGTCCTAAGTGTCATTGTTAGGACCAGTTTCCCTGATCTGAACACTTCTATGAACGACTTCACCGCAGTGTGCTCTCTGTGTGGGTTCATGCAGTGCTGTGGATCTCGGCACAGACATGCTGGAGCTGGATTGCCACCTGACGAAGGATGAACAGGTTGTGGTCTCACATGATGGTAACTTGAAGAGGGTTTGTGGCATCAATGCTAATATCAGCGACCTGACATATGCTGTGAGTTGTACTTCTCTATAAACATGCAAAATCTGTTTAGTTTCTGTAGATGCTATGTTTCTCCCCTCCCCCCATAGCTCCCTTAATTGAAGAAACATTTGTCAACATTAAAACATTCTAGTTTTGGTCTGATTTTAAGAAGAACTGGATTAAAACAGTATCTTGTGGTTTTTGTGTGCAGTCTTTTAGATGTGGGCTGGATCATGCGCCTAATCAACTGAGGTGCACACAAAGCCACCTGATTGTCACATGCTGGTTAACATCATGACCCGTGGGTTGATGGGAATTAGTTGATTAATTATTTCCTATAGCAGATTTCTGCTTTGTTTACCTTGTTTATGAACTTCTAGATGAAACACAAATTTGTATCATTTGGAGGTTTTGTCAACCCTGGCAAAGGGGTGTTGGAAGCTTAAAATCTTTTTTTTTTTGCTGCAGCAGCATAATTTTAATTAAGAAATGTTAGAAGAACAAAAGCTTTAATTTCAGTACATTTATTTAGTAGGGGAGTCTATTTTCTGTTAAGATATAATAGTATCTGATAAAATAACTTAATATAGATGACCTGTCCAGGCCTTCTGCTTAATGGCTGCTGGATTTAAGCTGCAGATTTTTAAAAATAAATCTTCAAAGCTCACAGCTGGAGAACTCGTCTTCACTGAATAATGCATTAAATTTAAAAGTTGATTTCTTTTTTTTTTTTCCAGTTTATTCAGATTGAGATTTTGCTTCTCCAATAAAATCTGAGTTTATATTAAAGTTGTTGTACATGTCATGTACAAATGTGGAGATTGTTGTGTGTTGATCAGCTCAATCTTGTTTTTAAAGAAAAAAATATATATATATTTTTTATCACATTAGCTTTAGCTTTCTAGACATTTCATACTGTAGCATATGCAGTTTGGTGCCCTTGTAAGTCACGCTATCACAAAGTCTGTGGATATGGGGGCAGGGACATGAAAATGTTTTGCAATTAAAAGTTATCTAACAAATGCTCCATTGCTACTATTTTTTTAAAGTAAGTTCTACTCAAAAATTACAGCAAGGACCTGAAAATAATGTTTTTAATCTCATTGTCTCAACCTGGTATGCTAAGTTCTTGAACAGGAGTGAAGGAACTCTGCTTAAAATGGAGCCATTCAAAAAGATTTTAATTAATTTTGGGAATGAAAAATGTTATGAGTGAAAGCCACTTGAGTAGCAGACTGCAGTTTATGCATTTTTCTTAATCTACATAAAGAATAAACTATACCAGTGCCTTTATAAATTATAGACTCTTCAGAGATATGACAGGCTTGACGTGTCTAAAAAAAGTGTTAATTTGTGTTTGCTCATGTTTAGACCCATGTTGGACACATATTGTCATGAGCGCAGAGAAACACTGTGACTGCAGTTTTAATTTCTGCAAACTTTTCACTGCTGTGTGCTTTTTGCAGGAGCTTCCCCCATATCTCTGCAAGCTAGGTGTAACTTTTCAAAGGGGTAAGTAAGAACTGCAGATCCATCACTAATGTCATAAGTAACGCTCTAAGCTATTCTAATTCTCACATTTAGAATTGTGTCTGACTGCAAACACTCAGGGACTCTACATATATCCAGTTGCTGGCGAACGATGATTCCAGCTAGCATTTTTGAGTTCCCGTTGAATCAGATTGTGTTCTTTGACTTGTCTTTATCTGGCCAGAGTGTTTCTGCGAGGGCGGTGAGGACAAACGCATCCCACTCCTCAGGGATGTCTTTGATGCCTTCCCAAACACTCCCATCAACATCGACATCAAGGTCAACAACGACACACTCATTAAGAAGGTGTGTGCATCTTTCTTTTTTTCCTCAAGTTCTCTCACAGCAAAAAATACTGCAGTGCCATTTTAGTGTAGATTGTCTTTAATTATTGATGTAAAAGTTTGCGTTTGAGGCAAACTGAGGATCTGTGCATTGTTAGAAGAATGATTCATTAAAGGAGTAACTAAGCAAGCTGAGACCGAAATCACATGTTTTTATTCTAAGAAGAAGGAACAAGGAGGACAAAGTTGGATTAAAAACAGTATCTTGTGGTTTCTGTAGTAGAAAAACAAACAAGCATATTTTATGTTTGAAATGTGTTAATTTTTACAGGTTTCTGAGCTGATCATGAAGTACGACAGAGAGGAACTGACTGTGTGGGGCAACTCCAGGAACCATATTGTCAAAAAATGTTACAAGGAGGTACTGCAATGAAACTATATCCTTATTTTAGTCGGTTTACGTTCCCCCAAAATGAATATTTGTTTATTTTTATCACCTTTATTTAGATGTAGTATAAAACTCTGTCCATACTTTCTCAAACCACCATAGTCAAACATGAAAATACTGAAATCATCCCAGCTTCTTTTGAACGTACAAGCTTGTCTTTACTTGCAAATCAGAGTGACTTAAAAGTTTTACGTTAATGGAATCTGACTGAGATTTTTCTTCCATTTTTTTTTCTTTCAGAATCCCCATATTCCAGTTTTGTTCAGTTTTCCCAGGGTGCTGCACCTTCTTGGGCTCTTCTACACAGGCCTCCTGCCCTTTGTGCCCTTGAAGGAGCAGTTTCTGGAGATCCCCATGCCCTCCCTGCTAACTAAGTAAGCAAATGTACGGCATATGAGTTGCAGTGTCTGTAGAGCTTGAGAAAAGAGCTGATTTGAGGAAATGTTTCGATGGGCTGCATGAGGGAAACCGTCTGGAAAACTACACGAAGGGACGGTAAATTCAATTTCCAGAGGGGTGAACAGCCTTTTTAAAGAAGTGAAGATGGCTCGGTCTCATTGTAAAGAGAGAGTCTCTCTTGTGACTCAAATCTCGTTCAAAGTAACGAGTTTAACCAGTTTTAGTGGGTCATGCAGCATTTCCCCCTGAGACAATAAATGAAAAAAATTTTGCTGTTCTGTCCTGTGAGCATAGTGAAGAAATATCCACAACGTGCCAAAGTTTTTCATTTTACAAAATTGCAATAAATCTGATTGATTAGTTTAAAAAAAATAGTTTGTTTCTATTAAAAACATGTTTCATTTGGATTTGCCATAGCTAAACCTGTTAATCTAATCCTAAAAGCTATAACAAGCTTTGCAGTTTTAGAAAAGGTCAATATTTAAAAAATACTTTTTAATCTTTCAGTCACATTATGCGTCTTTATCAGACATATTAGTGTGTTACGTAAGGCCAACGTTTCTGACTGCAGCGGTGAAACTCCATATGTTGTCAAGATCCCGAGAAGTGAGCAGAAGTATTGGAGTGGGGTTGTTAGTTGGACTTCAAGTTGATTCCTCAGATAGTCAAAACATATTGTGTCTTCACTAAACTTTGTTAAGGACCGACTTCTCTTTTGTTCCAAGCTGTGGACTTGATGCTTAATTGATTTTCCAGTGTTTGCTACTCTTTGTCCCTAATTCTCACTTTGGTGTTATCTTGTGGAGTTGCATGCTAACTGTTGCAGACGTCACAAAGACGTTGGGTATCTTAACATCCCACTTTCAAAATCACCATGTCAAATAAGATTATGTGATTTACTTATGTGGTTGTTGCAGAACCGTTATAAGGATGATGATTAGGAAAAACAGATTTTAGAGGCTCAACTCTGTTAATTGAGGACTAAGTAACAAATGAATGAAAGTGCAAGAGATGATACAACTGTAAAAGTTGAGTTGAGAATATCCTGATCTGTGCTTTTCCTTCAGTCACTAGGTGCATTTAGCTGTGCATCTTTCTCCCACATTCATTGTCATCATTAAAAATGAAAGACTGTCAAACTTTTACGCAGTTCAAACATTTAGCAAGTTTTGCTGACACTTAAAATATTTAACTTTTTGTGTTATTTTTCTTCTTTTTTTTTTCAACAGACTAGAAGATCCCAGCAGATTAACGCGGAGTCAGCGGTTGATTGCCTGGCTTGCAGACACGTAAGTCTCTAATTCATCCAAATATGAAATGTTGATAAACCTTTTTCATACTACTCTGAAGGCCTGACGTCGTTGAGGCATTGCAGATGTAGCTCCTATTCTTTTAAAGTGGGATACAAACCTGACTATCACCTGAAATTACATTTAAAGGACAAATCTTGTTTCCAAAGGATGAAGCTCAAAGGAAGAATATAGATAGAGGAAAGCGATGAGGCTCTAGCTTTGAAGATCCTCGTGGCCTGTAGGTCCTTTTTCTATGGCATCACAGAAAAAAAGATGCAAAGATGAGGATATAAAACCAAAGTCTGTCTGCCAGACAAGAGCCACAAAAGTGCCACACAGCTCCCCAGAAGTTAACCGAGTAACTGTTTAAAACAAACCTTTCAGGATTTTTGCTCAATTCAGAGATCTGTGATGGCTTTATGGCAGGTTATAAAAAGCTTCCTCTTACACCCGGTACAGGCCCCTGATGTTAAAATCACTTCCTCATGCTTACTGCACTCTGTTTGCAACTTTATTTTGGAGATTATGACGAGATTGAATGGCATGTACCTTTTTTGATGGCTTGTCACTTTCTTTTAACTGTGTAACCTTTTGTGCTGTTTTTGTTGCCACCTCTTGACTACGAGACCCTTAAAAAAGAGGCTTTTAGTCTGTTTTATCCTGGTAAAATAAAAATAATACAGAAGTAAAAAAGCTGATGACCCAGTACATAGTGAGGCATCTAAATCTCTGCATTTAATCTTCTCATAAAAAGATTTCACAGCTGGATAAAGATTTGGAAACTTTCTCTATCTGAGGAAAAAAAAATCATGTAGGATTTACAATATTTTAAACTTTTTACTCCAACAGCTTTAATCGGCGAAACAAAAGCCTTAACTAGAATGTGTTCTCTGAAATGACCTCAAAGAGTTTTTGAATTATAGACAGACTTCATTTTTCTAATATTTTTGAGCCCTGCTGAAAATTATGGGAAAATAAAGATTAATCAAAAATAACAATTTTCATGTAAGTTCAATTGCTTTTCTACCTGAGTTGTATGAGCTGTAATGATACTTATTTGTGTGTTGCAGTTTGCTGATGAGGAAAGCTCTTTTCCAACATTTAACTGCCAGAGGAATACAGGTACATGAGGCTACACCTGCTTTTCAGTCCTAAAATGCAGTGGATGGTTACCCTACTTTGGGTTAAAAACACAAAACTCAATCAAACGAAACTATTCATTTACTATTTTCTCCTATTTACTTTGACTTCCAAAGTTAATTGATTATGAGGAGTCGGGGAGGTTCATCTTACATGTTTGGAAATTCCTGCTTTGGAAATTTGAATGCAGCTACCAGGAAAACGTCCAAGTGTCCCACATGTTTCAAACATAGCTGGGTGACGTCTCCTTCTGTTGTTCCTGCGTGGATTAACTGTGCGCGTCTGGTTTCAGGTGTACATTTGGGTGCTGAATGATGAGGAAGATTTCCAAAGGGCGTTTGACCTGGGAGCCACAGGCGTGATGACAGATTTTCCCACCAGGCTCAAAGAGTTTATGGAGAGGAATGGCATTTCTAAACCCCAGTGACCTGCCAATTCCTACCTCCTCCTGTCTTCACGGTCATTATCCTTCAAGCTCGCTGACCTGCCAAACAAGCTCCCCACATTCACCCACTTTTACTGCACGCATTCCTGCAGCCCTACTTCCACAGTGTGTTGCACAAGTTTGGGTCTCCATTGACTCCCCTCATATGGGAGATGTATACTTTTATGGTTGTAGTGAAAGGAAAATCCCAAGAAGATTTTATTTGAGGCGATATTAATTATCAGAGTCGTCAGCATATTCATCATGTAGCAACAGCCGTGCTAGAGAATTACAACTAAACCTGGTATTAAGCATGTTAGTAGTTGCAAATAGCTACCTGGAATGGTTGTGAGGTTCCTACATTTAATCCAACAAGTTTCTGATTAATTTGACAAAAGCCTAACTTTTCTTACATGATACCTGGATTTGGATAAAACCCTCACGAAATGTGAACGGTGTTTATGAGCTATCAAAAACAAAAAAAACTAAAGCAGTTAGATCTGTCAGACTGCTATAAAACAAACTTTCATAAACAGATGGTTGACATGCAACCATTTGCTGACACATTTGCACAGTCAACCAATGTTGTAGCACAAACTGCATTAAAAAACCCACAATTGCATTTTTTATTTTAAACATTTAAGTTAATTTATTTCCTTAGGTAAAGTCACTGGGACTCAGAGTGATGAATTAGAAGTGTTCATTTCTGTTCAACCCGATTTTACACATGTGGGTCCTCTAAAAGTTCTGTTCATGTACAGAATAGAACATGGACTCCTTAAACTACTGCATCAACTCTGATGAAGTGTTGAGGAAGATCAATTCTGCTTTAAAAATGACCATCGGGTCACCTGCACGGCGTCCCTTGTCTTCCTGTTTCCAAGAGGCAATAACATTACCATTCTGTTCCCTTTGGCTCAAGCTAGGGAAAATTAATTGTTTCATTGTTGGAACATTTTGGGTTCAATTCCAGCTTCCTCCCCTGACCTATATTGATAAAAACATTTATTCCTCCATCATGACTGACAGCTAAAAAATATATTAAAAGGGGAAATCTTGGTTTATGTGATAATCAAATTCTGAAATGTTTGTATTACACCTGCTGTATTATATCCCTTTTTGAAGTGTTTCGTTTTTTTCCCTAAAATTAGAGGGAAGTTTTGACAGACAAAATGACCACTAAAATATATTCAGCTAGTTTTATCAGATCTGAATTTTGACATTATTATGTGAAAATGTATTTTCTTACAACTTATCGTGTGGTTTTACCGTTCAAATATTGAGCAGTAGGTAAAGCGTTGGTATCTTGAATCAGGCTGTTGTTTGGCCTTTGCAATAAAAAAAGCTGAAAGAGTCAAAAATGTCCTGCTAGTCCTGCAAAAAGCAGAAGTCCTCAGTTTAAAGGTCCCACTGTTTGTAGTAACCGGAAACTTGAAAGAGGCAAACCCATTGTTACTGTTCTCTGTACTGTAATAGCACCAGTTTGCTGATTTTATTGAATTCTTATATGTAGAAATGTCTGTTTAGTTTTCCCTCTTTGCATCAAATGAATATGTTGCTCATTTGTGACTTGAGAGAAGAGTTTTGCACAATTTCTGAATCTTTTATTTTCTCTTGAGTCTTTGAAACAGTGAACATATTGAAATCATGTATCTGATTTTAATCTTTAGATGATGTGCCAGCCCAATAGAGCTCAATTATGTTTTTGATGTTTAACTTCTCTGCTATTTTTGAAGCTGCAATGAATTAAAAACTGCGAGACAATGAAACCCAGGCACCAAATACTCCTGCACTGATGTTGAAAGGAGGGTGTAATAGGGTTACTACACACACACACACACACACATATATATATCTCACCAATGATATTTTCTGATCTAAACATGTTAACACATGTTTGTAATGAATGTAGTTATGATTGAATGTATTATGAGATGTTTGGTATTTTTCTGTGGGAATAGAGTTTCTCTTTTGTTTACCGCTTTCATTGAATTACTTTCACAGTGTTTCTTGAGTTGCACAATTTTTTTTGCTGAACCCAATCCATTGTTAGTGACATTATTGTGCTGTATTTAGTGTCCTTTTATTCATGCTTCAAACAAGCTGCTCTCTTTGAACTGCATCAGTCTGTGGGACGAGGTACCTTGAATTTTTCAAAGCTTATCCCACAGTCTATATTATCTCTAGTTTCATTGATTAGAGATAATAAAATGAATTTTCATCGACATGAATTCTTGTCTGTATTTCTTGGGTGTATTCGTGCTCTTAAATCATTAATTACAATTCGTTTTAATTTTATTTTTGAAAAAAAAGGTCGTTGTGTAAAAGGATGTCATCTGCTAAACCGACAGGAGGGGGCGCTGTTTACACGAGAACTTGAATGAGTTGTAAACGAAGACTCGAAAAAAAATTTGAATGCTGTTTTCTCTCTATTTTTTTTTTTAAATAATTAACTGATACACTTAAAGTCTTTATTAAGAGAACAAATTAAATATGTGAAAATGTATAATTTCACAAACCCACAATCTGCTTTTAAATACTTCTCAGACATTTAACGCCAAGAAGATTATTGGCTGCCCTCCTCTGGTCTCAGCCAATAAGAGCCATGTTGCTATGCCATAACGGTTCACTGATTGGATGCTGCGCTTGTCATTCAATTGTCACAGCAAACAAAACAAAGAGCCTCGACGCAAGATAGTTAACGTCTAAGCTTTTCACACAAACTCAATGGAGCCTAAAATAAAACTTCATAAAATGTTTAATGCAGTGAGCCTTGCTTAATTAATATTGTCTTGTCTGTATTTCTTGTTTGTTTGTTTTATTTAAACAAAAAAGACACAAAAATAGTATTACTGTCAAAAAATTCCGAAGAATGACTGTTTTAATATGTGCAACTTTCGATATTATTTTTAAAAATGTCATGAATAAAATAAAAGAAGGTTAAATAGCGTCTTATTTCATAGCAATAGTTGAAATTACGATATACATATATATGTATTTTATATTTTCTCCTTACTGTTGATACAGTATTTGGGTCAAACCAGGTTCTGGTGTTTGGACGACCTGTAGAAAGAGCTGCTCATACGTTAGAAGGAAATTATGTTTCCCTTTCAGTGACTTTGTCAATACGTTAATAACAGTAGAGCATTAATTTTTACAGTATTCGTCTAAACATGCGGGGTGAAAAGGGCTTTGAAATAAAAGTACGAACGCGGGATTTGTTCGGAGGGAGTCATCTCGCTCCGGCTGTGCGCCTCGACGATCTCTGTCCGTCTCTCAGTAAACTCTGCTGGGCACCGCTGCGCGTCAAAACATTGCGTCTCTGCAGGACTTGCCAGGGCCGGAGAGCGGAGGAAATTTGCCTGGGGAAGGAATGCGAAAGAGCTTTTAGGATTGGCACCGCCACCGCGGGAAAAGAGGAATTGCGACATTTTTTTTTTCTTTCGGCGACGTGGAGAGACGTGTTTTTACTCCTCTCAAAGGTACGTATAGTTTCCCCCCCCGCTGTAGTGGTGGTGCTTTTTTTTTGTTACGCACTGTGTTTGTGTCTCTTTGCTTGAGGCTTGTCCAGGAAGCGGTCCGGTCATTCACAGTTTTCCTCAGTAAGGTGTCTTTCTACTTTAGGCAACGTTTGCGGTTGCGTTTCAAGTCAAGTTTCGCATATTGCATAAGTATGAGCAGCTGATGCAGTTTCCTCATGGAGGGGATGCTGACACATTCTCTGCCTTGGAGCTCCTGTGTTTGTCTGCTTGTTGTTGTTGTTGTTAAATTATAACTCATGCTGACACCCCTGCACGTAGCGCCACCATACTTGCACGTCAGCGGGATCGATGCGGGTGATCATATAATGAGGTCATGTGATTGCTGACGGCAGTCGCCTGTCAAAATTATTGCGGATTGTTTTCAGAGGCAGCAGTGCGTGTGCGGGTGTGTGTGTGCATGTGTGTGTGAGGTGAGGCATCCCCGCCATCTGTGGTGGCTGAAGTTCTGCCCCAGATAAAGTGCGCCACTTCCTGTGACCTGATTCACACCAGTAATTACACATTTATACTGTAAACCAACCAGGGCTGCATGTCTTTAATCCGTGCGTAACTCCGCAAGATGAGATTTCTCCCTGACATTATCTGTCTTCGCCCACATCCAGGAGGACATGCTTCATTTTTAACCCCTGCATGGACTTTGTTTACCCTATAAATCTAATATTTTATTAAATCAGATATGTGCTTTCAGACAAAGGAGCAAAAATATGGATTTAAAGAACCTATTTTATTATTTTTGTATTAGGTTGATTGTGTTATCAACTGACTCTGATAACAAACTTAATCACTGTCCATGGAGTTACCCTTTCTGAATTCTGTGGCTGTAGATTTCAAAGTAGAAGTTTATTATATTATATCATATTAGATTAGATTAGATTAGATTAGATTAGACATGTTGTCTCAATCAAGAGCAGGTACATCACTTTTAGATATATTATTGAATATTGAATGAATCGGCCTCTACTGCCTTAATTTCGGGTCACCAGTGATCGGCCGATATGTCCATGTGAAGCCGATCTCATGTACCTCAGTCTAAAACTCATTAGTCTTCGTCTCCCTTCTGAGAGAAATTTGACTGACAAACCCGCCCACCAGGACATGTCTGCACATTTTCTGTTGACAATAGTCACTCCGCTGTTCCCAACTCAGTGACTTTCTTGTTATCTTTAGTGACATTTCAGATTTAAAAAAAAATAAATAAAAATGTTATCAGCCGAAATCGGAATCAATTGGTTGGGCTTTTTAAAGATCGGTAATCAGCGATTGTTCAGAAATCTGCAATCGGTGCAGCCCTTATAAAAACTACTCACACAGTATACAAAAGGCTCTAAGTGTTATTATAACAACGTTTTAGTATTTAGGAGGCTGAGAATGTATTTAAAGCTAACCTTTTATTTCACAACCCCACAACTCATTTCATACTGTTATTAAAGGCAAAATTAAAGCATAAATGTAAGTCAACCAATAATTATATATTTCTCTGAAGCTTCAAAATCTTGACGCTACAAGTATGGTGTGTGACTCATTTATGCAGTAAATCAGAAGTTCATTTATATATTCGACATCCTGAGGTAGAGCTTCTTTATTTTCTTTTTTGTGACATGATGAGAAGCTGGAAAAGAGCAAAATCCAATTTTAGTGCTGATTTTACTAAGTCATGCATGAAAATTGTCGTGTTCATATCTTATCAGGTTTGAGAACTACTGCTATATGAATGAATAAACAGGGGGAGTCCATGTAGATATGGTGAGATGTTTTTAAGAAGTTAAGTTAAATTGAATAAAGTCCTGAGAAGTGTATTTATTGGGTCAGCAGTGATCTATTTCCATTGCAGCGCATGCAGGCAGATTGCCAGCGACCATGTGAGCCGGCGGTCGATGTTAGAGGATCGAAGATGAGCTGAAGGCCCTGAAAGGCGATCTCTTGCTGACCGGGCTTGTGTGCACAAACTAAAGTTGCACAAGTCTGTGTCTTAACACATCTACCGCTCAGCCACTCCCAAAACGCTTTCAAATTACACGAACACAAGTCATTTCAACAAGTTTTGAGCTGTCTTCTTCTGTCTGTCAGAAAGCATGGAGCCTAAAGCAATCATCACATCACAAGATGATGCATAAGGAGGAGTGGAAACAGCAACGTCCCTTCATCAGTGAGATTTGATACGAGTTGGGAGTGGAGTCAGTGATGTCATGCTGCTGCGTGCTGCCGGTCTGGCTGTAAACATGAACTGAAAACGGGATGAAAAGCACATCATGTGCACAAATTGTGTCAGAGCAGCGTAGGATGTGCTGCTTATGGAGGACTCAGCAGATTTGCCCTCAATCTTTTTCTTCTGTTTTGTGATCACGGTCAAAAGCAGCATCTGCAGCAGCATCGGTGCATTACGTAACCCTCTTTGTTGCCGTTGTGTGTATGCAGGGGGCTCCTTTCTGGTTAGTGGGACTCGTGGCATGTAGCTCTTTCTGTGATGACACCCAGAAATGACCAGAACGGACGGCTCGCTGACCTCAAACAACCTGCCGCAGGACGGATGAATAGACAGAGAGGCAGCAGAGAAAAATAATGAATATGCAAACCGGCTGAGAGGCACAGAGATAGATGAAGTGAAGGCAGAGGCAGGCTGGCTGAAAATGATGCAAAAGGTTACACACACTGAAATTACTTTGGATATCTTGATTTCTCGTCCTCTCTGGATCCCTGCAAGCTGCAGGTCATCTGATCATTTATGCAATTTGTTTTTCAGTCGGAGTTTGTTTCTGTTGTGTTGTGTAGTTCAGAACAGCTCAGGCGGACCGTCTGCGTCAGCATTTTGAAGCGCAACGACATGGCACCAAACAGTGCTGCTTTGCAAAATGTGTTTTAACTCACCTAAAAGGTTGGAGGATTCTCTGGTTTTGGTTTGTTTGATAAGGCTTAAACAACATTTCACTTCAGCTAAAACTGTTTAAGCAATTTTTTTTCTAACAGTGTGTCTACATTGTTTCTTTAACATCTTTTACCTAATATTTAACATGCTTTATTTGTGGAAGTCCTTTTGCATCATAAACCAGTCGTATGAAAACTTGTAGATGAAAAACTGTGATAATCAGAGCCGGCCTAAGGTTGAATCAAACTCTGCAATGGAGTTTATTGTAGATATGACTTTCTTACAAGAGCAACGCTTCTAAGCATCCTAAGAAAAACAACAATTTGATAGCATGCTAACAGAGTTTGCTTTGTACAGAAGATCAGAACCCAGAAGATCAGAACCCTTGGCTACTGAGAAACGATTGTTTATTAGAGGCATGGGTTCTGTAGAAGTCTTAAGCGATTGGATTGGATGTTACCCAATCGCCAACGTTTGACCATGACGTACCTTGCGCCTCAACTCGATGAAGCTTACCAGACATTGATTGTAAACAACTTAGTCAGCTCCGACTCTCATCTCTTCTTAAGTTTCTTAATCACTTGCTATCACTTCATCTGTATGGATTCAGAGGCTATAAGGTTTCCTTCCAACCTGCTGACACACACTAACTCTTGACTATGGCTAACTGGGAGCTATGTTCTTCTAAAACTCCAGCGTATTTCTACATATGCATGAGCCTCCTGAGGATATGTGATATGCAGCTCAGTGATGCGGTAATGGGGGAAGATATTGTCCCTCAAGGGAACATTACACTTTCATGATGCACTGGAGGTCACACATACTAGCTGTAGCATCATTTTGCAGTTGTGATTGATTGCCGCAGCATTTGGAAAAATATTCGTACCCCTTGAATATGTTCAGATTTCACGCTCAAATGCATTTTATTGGGATTTAATGTGTCAAACTGATTCAAACTACTGTGTAGTTGTGAAGTGGAAAGAAAAAAAAGGAAAAAAATATTAGTAACAAAATATGTCAATTATGTCTGAACTTTGATTGGTCCGTTCTCCCACATCCTGGCATTATCTTCTCCACCCCGGTGTCGAGTTTTTTGCATGACCTGGTCAAATCGACTCAGATTAGGTTTGCTGGCCCTGCTGAAGAAAGGAATCTCTGAGTGTGAAATCCGTCAAAGGGTGGGAATACTTTTGAAAAGCGTCATGCATCAAAATATTTCACTCTCAGTGTTAAAAGTGCACCGACTCATCGCAAAGAAAGAAGATTAAATTTAGTTCAGCTGGAATGATTGAAGCCTTAGACTGGTAGATTGAGTTGACTGCTCATCTACTTTGTGCAAATGTTCTTTATTCTTACTTTCATTGAAAGCATCCATCACATCTAGTCAGACTCTCTCGGAGCCTAAAGTCAAATCTATGAATATATCTGCATTGATTTTATGCAGCTTAATACACAAAGGGCACACTGCATATTTTTACATTTATGTAACTTACTGTATGTGACAGCGTGTTGATTCATTTTTATCTGATCTCAGAGGACAAGATGCTTACATTTGTCCTGAAATGACTGAAAAGATAAAGCATGCTCTTGGTTAAACATCAGTTCGTGTGTGTGTGTGTGTGTGTGTGTGTGGGTGTGTGTGTGAGTGTGTGCGCATGCAAAGGGTCAGCTATGACAATTGTAATGTGTCTTTGTGCCCTGATCCTACACTGTTGGCATCGAGTCAGAGGAGAGAAAACAAGGGCATATCTCAGTGCTTTATTTATTTATCTGATGCAGTCCTTCCCATCAGCCTTTATCAGCCTTCATCAGGCTCTAAAAACAATCCCGCTGCAGCGCAGGCCCCCGCTCTTCTTGTTTGTCCTGTGCTCACCGAGGCCTCTGGCTTCCAGTCACTATTTTATGAGCTTTTCCAGATGCTTCTGTAAACGCAGACGGAAGGGAGAGGAGACAGTGGTACATTATTGAAATGATGTGTGTTCTGTCTTTATTTAGACTTTGTGGAAATATATATGGACATTTCTGAAAGCAAACGCAAGGTGGTGGCCGGGGAAATGGATGATATATTTGTGATTCATAGAATCAGAGCCAAAGACACCAAGTTACTGTTGCGCTGCTTGATGTGAAGCTCAGCCCACTACCCAGTTTCTCCAACAGGTCCTCAGATTATAGGCCTGACCCACGGGACGGCTTCCCATGCCGACTTGTTTAATCTTCTAAGTCGCCGGGCCCCAGCAGCAGCAAGTATGTTAAAGGGTCGTTCCCTTTGGATATCATGAAGGGAGCAGAGCACGATCCTTGCAGTTGTGCTGGGATAAGCAGATTATAGCTGCAGCCTTGCAGACTTTAACACAGAGTGTGAAGTAGGAGCGTCGCTTTGCCTCGGTTTGCATCAGGGCTGCATGCTGCAGTTTGCAGTGGCAGCTTTGCACAAAAAGCTGAAATACCTTATGATTTTCTGCCAATAACTACAGGATATGTTGATAAACTTTCAACATACAAAACAGAACCAGCCTGTCAATGTCCAAAATGGCCGAAAGGTGATGCAGTGAAAACATGAAATGATTTCTTGATTGATACCTGCAGAAAGTTCAGGGCTGTTGAGTGAGTAAACTCAGTTTGCCAATAATAACTGCAGAGGGCCTGCAGGGATCCACAGCTCAGGTGGGAGAATCTGTTGACAGGACAGATATGCAGTTCACAGATCTGGAAAGATGCACCATTGGCAATAAACACAGGTTGTCAAAATTCAGTGAGGAGAAACAGCCAGCAGGTAGTCAGATCAGAACAAATTGTACCTTTTGGTTTACTTGTTAAATCAAAAACTAACTCTGGAAACCTCCCTCAACACTCTATCCTCATGCAGGTTGTAGGTTTTAGTTGCAGATGTTCAACTTCAGCTGTGTAAGGCACTGCTTGTGATTGTGTTGTCATCCAGGTGTCGTTCAGCCGCTCTGCTTTCTCCTCCCAGGTGTTTACCTCCCAACCCACCGCCCACCACGGCCCTCACCTGTGTGTTGCGGTGCTTCCCCTGTGAGCCGACCTGGGCCGGCAGTCCGTTTTTGCACCGCCCGCCAACACCGCCCATGGTCAGGATGACGCGCTCCAAGACGTTCCAGGCGTACCTGCCGAGCTGCCACCGGACGTACAGCTGCATTCACTGCCGAGCTCACCTGGCCAACCATGACGAGCTCATCTCCAAGGTAACCAGGGGAAGCTCTCACAGCTCTGCCTCTAAGCCCGAGAATCGTTCAATCATTTTGGTTAAAGAGGACCTATTACTCAAAATTTATCATTTGCATATTTTTATGCTTCCAAAAACAACTCAACCGTTTTTTGGTGTCTGGAAAATGAGCCGTTTCAGAATCCCTCCAATTGTTAAGTTGCATTCAATGGTAACTGCGTCGTTTCTTAGCGACCATAGCTGAGCTCAGCCCATCACCTAGCAACCCAAGAGGAGCTCCAGCACATTTGGTTAGTTGGCCAAAGTTACCACCCAAGAAAGCATTGCTTCATTCTTGTTGGTTGTCCAGGAGGCTCTACTTTTACTTTTCAAAGATGCACAGGTGTGTAATTGTGCATTATACAACTGCGTGGCCAGCAGCAGTTCATTTGGATTTAAAGTGACAAGAGTCAGTGAAGCAGCTCATTCTGAAAGGAGCTCAACATGGGCTGAACTGAACAGGCTCAAATCTCATTATCTAACAATAATTTGTATAAAAAGTGTAATAAACATGTTTTGTGTAGCTCATGGACCTCTCCTAATCTGTTAAAGGAAGCAATTTCTCCCATAGCAGAGAGCTGTCAGAGTACCTTTAGTTTAGATCCCATGGAAATAATTACATTTTGGGGGAAATATCAAGGACTTAAAAAGCACATGAGGAATTACAAATCTAAACAGCAGGTTTATCCACCTGTAGGCTTGTATTATCCACCGCCGCGCCGCTGCACATGGACAGATTATGTTATAAACTGGAGAGTGAACTGGATTATGGCTGCAGTTGCACGTTTTATACGCGATTATGAAGACACATTCACCTGTGTTCAGAGGCTTTTTTTGCCGAGCTGCACTAAATGCAGCAGTTTAATAAGCCTCTTCAACAGCAGCTTTGGTTTTGCAGTAAACATCCGCCTCTGGTGAAAAACCTGCTATCACTTATGATTTACTAAATTTTTTTCTGCAAAACATAAGTCCCTTACACCCTCATTTTAGGAGTTCTTTCAACTTAAGAGCAGCTTTTTTTGCTTCATCTTGTCAACTATTGTCTCTGCAGTCGTTCCAGGGCAGCCAGGGCAGAGCTTACCTGTTCAACTCAGTGTGAGTGCTGATCTAAAATCTCATCTCAGAACATCTGACGGATTCATTGAGAGCTTCTCGTGCTTGCATCGAGCTTTAAAAACGTTTTCCGCTCTGCCTCTGCTCGTGTCTGCCCCTCAGGGTCAACGTTGGGTGTGGCCCTGCAGAGGAGAGAGTTCTGCTGACAGGCCTGCATGCTGTGGCGGATATCTACTGTGAGAACTGCAAGACCACTCTGGGCTGGAAATATGTGAGTGCCCTTGGTTGATTCCAAGTCTAAGTTTAGCGGAGAATAAACGGGGGGGTTGGTGGGGAAAGAGTTGTTCTTGTAGCATAACCTGATTTTATTTGGACCCTTAATATTTTTGGACTGCGCTTCTCAGAGGGTCACTGCAGCAGCTCAGCTCCAAGCTGACAGATGGAGGTCAGATGATTCTTTTAGGTGCCTTCTGGTTATTTTTACATACATTTTCTGGATTAAGGTTGGTTCAGCATGAGGAGAATTTCCACTTCTTGTTTTATTCACTGTTTCAGTTTATTTCCTGGTTGTTTTAAATTGGATTTTTTTTTTCATCAATACTTTGTAGAAACACCTTTCCTCTTTAATCACAACTGTTTCCAGCAGGTTTGCACATCTAGAAACCAAGCTTTGTGTCCAGTATTTTAAATCTACCAGATTAAATGGAGAGTTTCTATGAACCTTTATTTTCAAGCCACAGATTCTGAATGACGGTTTGTTGTCCATCTCCTGTCTCTAGTCTTTTGCAGCTTACCTTTCTCCACTGAAGAAAACCCTCTCCGCAGCATGCTGCTGCCACCACCGTGTTTCACCTTGTAGAAAGTTGATTCAAGTTGATGTGTAGAATAAGTTTTCTACACATAGTGCTTTGCATGTAAACTAGATAGTTTGATTTTTGTTTGGTCTGACCATATTTGTGGCAAACTGAAAATCTGGCTAATTATGGAATTCTTTCAACAACGGTTTCTTCTTGGCTATTTTCCTTAAAGAAAAGATGTTGGGAAGGTTTGAATACTAGTTGCGTTGTCAACAATTTGTCTTAACTGAACTACAGTGAACCGCCACTAAGCATCATGTTGTGGGAGCCTGGAACGAGGACGGTGCAGAAAACTTGCTACATAAAAGCCAAGGTTTGAAGAAAAAGTTCAAAAGATTTATATAAGAAGAATCTGGAAGCTTCGAACAACACGAGGGTTTAGCTTCTTAGTAGCAAAGCATAGCAAAATGAGCGATTGTTTCAAAACTTTTGCTCAAAGAATAAATGCCTGAGTGAAAGCTTGCTTCAGACAGACTTCATCAGTTTATTACAGGACCAGTAAATTTATTTAGTTCTCCTTATTAAGTTATACATGTTAAGAGAAACCACAGCAACTATTAGTTCAGGCAGTTTTGTAACAAATGCAACTACTTCTCTCGTATTGACCAAAATTAATCAACAAAGTCCCGTTTAAATTAAAGCAGGTCGACCTGTTAATATTCAGATGCAGGTAATTCAAGATTTGGTTTTCATGCACCTTCATGAAATTAAAATATAATGCAACACAACAGACTACCTCATTACACCAAATTACTAACTGTATAAGTACTGCAGCAGCCTCTGTTTAAATACTATTTAACCCTGAACATTTCTTCCTGATTACAGAGTGAAGTTTGTGTTAAGCTGCGATGTTAAAACGTGTTTTTACTGAGTGCAGGAGTTATTTCGGTCTTCTGTAAGTGAGCTGAACAGGGTCCTCTAATGTTAGCCTTTTTCATACATCAGCAAAGCTAAATATGTGTAGCTTTCACCAGCAAACCTTTTTAACATGCAAGGGAGAGTTTAGACTATAGTGCATGCGGTTGTTTCCTTAAAGGGTTAAAACACACAGCGTCCTTCTTGTTTGGCTCCTGAGAAGGCCTCATTGATCACACACCACCAGTCTGAACAAGTCTGAACTCAATTCCACTTTCTTTCTTATGGCCTAAAAATAAACATTTTCCTTATGAGCCTGTTAAACACTGGCTGAACCGGCAGTAAAAGTAGCTTCTCTTCTCAGAAGTTTCTATTCCTGTCAGGACCCACTGAGAAGTCCCGCAGTCTAAATGCGGTTCTGCAGAAGTTGAAAGAGACTCTGAGGTTTGACCCATTGCTCTCCTGCAAGCAGAAATCTGAGAATGTGCCTCTGCAGCTCAAAAACCAAACCAGTCAAAGACAGAAACAAATAAATATAAAATAAAGGTGCAAAGGGTCGCTCTACAACATTTGCATCATCCTTCTCCGTTTCACACCTGTAGGAGACTTACAGAGAGCGAATGTGTTCGGAGGCTGTTAATCGACGCAAAGCAGAAACCTGATGGCTTCCAGAATCATCAAGATGAACTTTTTCTTAAAATGATGGCGACTAAATCCTAAAATGTTAAGAGTCTGTTCTGTTGTCATGTATTCACTTTTCATAGTACAAAAAGACAAGCTGTAGAAACCACTTCACAAGTACGAACTCACACTGCCTATCATTTTGTACTCATCTACCTTTTAATATAAAACCCCCAAACATAAGTCAGTGCAACCAACTGCCTTGAGTACAAAGCTATATATTCAATAAGATAGAATGGAAAAAAAACAAACATTTATTCTAGGAACTTTGTGAAGGAAAACTAACACCTCACAATGCACAGAACACATTATCTCCAAAGTGAAACACGGCAGTGGCAGCATTATGTATTGGGGATGCTTTTCTTCAGCAGAGGCAGGTAAACTGATCAGAGTTGACGGGTAGGTGGATGGAGTGGTAAAATCCTAGAAGAAAACCTGCTGGAAGTTGGAAAAGACTCGACACTGAAGCTAGAAATGACACTAAACATCCAGCCAGAGGGACAGCGGGCTGACTTAGATCCAACCAAACTCATGTGTTAGAATGGCCCAGTCAAAGTCCACTCCTAAATTCCACTGGGAATTAGTAGCCATACTTAGAAATGGTCGTTCACTAATCCTCTCCATAAGATCTGTGGGCCCATTTGAAGCTGTGCTTCCAAATGGGCTGCATACAAGTTTTTATTTTATTTTATTTGCATCATATTTCTTCCAGTTTGGAGTTACAATGTTCACCGCTCTATGTTGCTTTTGTCACATAGGAGCACAATAAAATACTTTGACATTTCTGATTGTAATTTGACAAAATATGGGTAAATCCATAAGGTATGAATCTTTCTGCATTTCTAGTAAATGTTTGAGCTGCTGTCCAGGGAGGAATGCATGTTTCAGCCTGCAGAGACACAGCAGCATTCATTGTGATCGTTTTTAAACCTGCAGGCCTTTGGTTTTGGCAGACTATTTGGAGTTAGAAACACCCTGTTGTCCATGTGATGTATGATGGTTCTCTTCAGTCGGAGCGCTCCTGTGTTCAAGTATACGTCGTTTTCATGCAAGCATCTCCCACAGGCAAAAATCTGCTCAAGCTCAGTTAAGGCTTCGTTCACACATCAGGTAAATACGACCCAAGTCTGCCTTTTTTGCCCAAAAGCGATCCATATTCAACTGTTTCACAGCAACTGAATAGTTCATTTCCAAGCTTTTTACCCCAAAACATTTGATCTATGCCACTTCCACATGTTGTACTGATTCGGATTCATATCTGATAGTTTTTGAAGCGTCTGCAGTCTGAGCGGTCATGTCTCATTTCATCCGACCTTTACGTCAGGGACAGGAGTCATGCACCAGAAGATGTAAGCAATGACTGAAAATATAATTTTGAAATTATGAATGAAGTCCATGACAAATCACAATCACACCAAACAACTACACATTAATTATTACCTCCATAAACAATAAACATGCTGCTGTGTGACGTCAACATTCTTCTTCTGCGCATGCTGGTTGTTTTAGGGACGTAAACCATTCACACGCCGTTTGATTGATTTTGCATTTAAATAGTGGTATGAATGACCGTAAAGTATTTCAGCTCAAAATTGGAATTGATCATCAAGACCTGCTGTGTGAACGTAGCCTAAAAGTTTCTCACCGTTTCATTGTGATCCGATGTGATTGTACCTTCTGAATGAGACGCTACGTCTCCTGTCCTCTGCCACTCCCTCCAGGAACATGCTTTCGAGAGCAGTCAGAAGTATAAAGAGGGCAAGTTCATCATCGAGTTGGCCCACATGATCAAGGACAATGGCTGGGACTGAGGGGCGAGCAGCTGAGTGACAACCACGCTGGATGGGAGGGAGGCAGGGGGTCGTGGGGGTGATTGTGTGCGGTGGGTGAGTGTGTGACTTTGGTTTGGCTGATTTACCATTAACCTCTGTAACTTACTGCCCATCCACACACCTCTTGATGTACACACACACGTCACGTGCGGTAACACACACCGAGGTCCCAGACATCCCCTGTTTGATGGGAGGACAGACTAACAGGACTAGGTGACTGGCCAGCAATAGACAAGATGTTACGTTTTGGTTTTAGTTTTATAAAACACAAGCTCTGAAAAGCAGCTCCGCGAAACGTTCCCTCTGCTGTGTTGTACCTTGTCTAAAAATAGCGACTGCAAGGGGTCCAGTGGGATCAGACCGGCAGCTTGCTTTGGTTCTGGTTGAAGAGCTGATCACTGGGTCCGCAACATGAATGAGACCTAAGATGATTATAGGAGACTCAACTGATTGGGGCTGTGCCATCTGGGCCTGATGAGGTCTGACCCCGAATGGGCCTGAACACACGGGCTTTTAAAGGGTTCTGTGTGCAGAGATTACCACCCACTTGGCTGCTCCTTCAAAAAAAAAAAAACGGTGGAAAATCTAGATCTAGATCTGGGTCTTGCTGCTTTCATGGCTTCTGACTGGGATCCCTTCAATGCCTCGCCACTGATGCAGTCCGGGACAAAACAAGAAGGTAAACGAATGCAGATGGACCTGCTATGTGTCCTCGAAGCAGACAAAGCTGCTCCTCTTGGTTTTGTTCTCGCTTTAAAACAAAAAACCCTTTGTGGAGTAAAGAGATCTACTGATCCTTCCACATTTGAGGTCTTGCATCTGCAGATGCAGCAATGCGTCCACTGTTGTCGTTGGGTCAGATAGAGTTACGTACTGGGACAGCAAATCCGTCTGGGAGTCCCAAAGTCTTGTGAACACTGTGAGCATCTCTCTACCATTGTAGGGAAAAGAGCAAAGGTGTTGCAGCTCTGCAGGGTTTGTAGTAATCTGTAATTGACATGCCCCCCTGCTATCATGCAAACGATGAGTAAAGTCACTAGTGCATGACTAATGTAAAATGAAAAGTATTGACTTTCATTGCAATGATACATGACCACAAAGGCATTCAGATCTCTGAGTAGAAACTACCGATGTTAGGTTTTCTTTCTGTCTGGGATCAGTGCCGTGAAACTGCTGTTACTCTGATCTGTTGTCCTTACAAAAACACTGGGCAACATAAATGCGCAATGTACTTGACTCACTCATACAGTGGCCCTCAAACGATCACACACTCCTCCTAAAATGTCAGGTTTTTGTGATGAAAAACAAATTGCAAAAATATCTAGAAATGCTTGCAGCTTCAATCTTAAACACACACAGAACAATTCAACTGGAAAACAAGCAAATGGGTCAGGAAAACACATAACAATGCAAGGTTTTTAAAGTGTGATCTCTTTGAAAACCTGCCTCTTAGCTGTATTTATCTGGTTCTCAGTGGGTTTTGGAGAAATATTCAGTCTTCCGTGCCACGACAAACATATTTAATAGTCTGGATTATTTTGCCCCCTTTTTCTGACCCTTAAGATCCGTTTGATGCTTTCAACATTTCTGCAAACATAACTTCATAAATAGATATCGGGAAAATGCAGCTTTGTTTTTCAGTTGAATTGAAGATGCTGCATGCTAAAATAAATGTGGAGCAAGTTTTATGATCATTTATTTTGAACAGATTTATTTTTTTCAATCCTAAATCCCCAGCAATTTGGTAGGAGTGTGTGCTACTTTCTCACATCCACTGTATTTCTTTCCTGCTATTCACATGTCTATTGATCAACTTTACTGGATTACATTTGAGCTCCCATCTCTGGGTACATAATTTCTAACTATTCTTTGCTGAGGCCAGGATCCTACTGAATCTGCTGCGTACATATTGTTTTCTGACGGGGAAGGAGATTATTCATGACAGCCGGCTCCGTTCGATGCAAATGCAACGTCACCACATGCACGATATAAAACTGACTAGTTTTGTGTCCTCGTCACATTTCTTGTGAAGAGAACATCGTGTGTTGCAGTGAAATCCTGCACTGTGATACAAAATCTGATCAGTTTCATTTCGTCCGTTTGAGCCGTGAAGTCGAGTCGCAGCAGATGAGATCTGATCCTGGTTTGGAAACGTAAAGAGACGAGTCCCTCTGTCTGTCACGAACACGAGAGTCCTGTAGACATCGCTCCAGATGTCGCCCTTTTAAGAGTGAGCGCTCTCTGGCTCCAGCTCAACCCAAACTGTTGACTCTGATCAGTGACTCGCAGCAGCTGGGGGTCAAGCTGGAGACTGCGACTGTAAATCCAGCACAACCAAAGAACCCACCCATCAACAGTAAATTGACCAAACAAAAGATTTAATTTTGCTTGGACAACATGTTGCAAAACAGGAGGGTGTGTACTTAGTGGAAAGCCAAGTTTTGTGGACAGCCTTTCTCTGTTATATATGTACTGCATTTTGATTTTGTAAAAAGATCTTAATATATGCACATATTCTATTTACTGTTCATCATGAAGATTTCTGTTTATGTCCACCTCTGTGTTACGGATTGTAAATAGTGTTAATGTATCGTGTTTTATCTATGATCCATAAGATGATGAATGAATATGATTTAGGTCACGTCATGCTTTCTCTCGACTGGTACCCCACATTGGCTGTATGATACTACTTTTCTACTGAAAACGTTTCGATTTTAATGTCTTTTGTAAAAGGAGGATGCTGATGTTGACTATATCATTGGATCTTCATCTAATAAAAGGCACCTTAATATCTGTATGGGGCATAGTGTTCATTTAGGTGTTTTGCTCCTTCATTTTCAATATTGACGGGAGTTTCTTATCACCATTTCATTATGCTGGAGAGCCAAAGCGCAGACAGGAGGCTGGAAGGCCGTAAAACAAGGAAAGTATTAAAATATAATTCTATGGCTGACAAACTTAAGATGAGTCAAAGGATCGAGGTTGTATCCGAAGAAGAGATCCAGAAAAATTGGACTCTAAACACCAAGACAAGGAGCAGGTGAATGAGGGAAAGGGAAAAAGGTAACTACAAACTAAAACCATCCATCGAAACATCCATCTCACCACGGAGAAGATATGTCTTGTTTTTCCAGGACGATGTCGCCCTGCACAATCCCACTCCCTCCACTAAAAACCGTAGGACTGTTTAGCACTGCACACAACTATTTGATATAAAACAATTTTAGGGGGGGAAATAAACAGGCTTTCCAAAACGCAGCGTTAAATAATCAACTAAACAGTCTTTTTTTTTTTTCTTGACTAATTTTATATTTCTGTTTCCACAACCTGTTACTATATTCGGACTGGAGCGCAGCAGTTTTTATCCTCCATGCTGTTTGTGTCTTTAGCGCCAAAAGCCATCAGGGGAACGAGGCGTGTGACGTAGTGAGAACTCCGGCATACGTGTGTGTGTGTGTGTGTGTGTGTGTGTGTGTGTGTGTGTGTGTGTGTGTGTGTGTGTGTGTGTGTGTGTGCGGAGGAGGCTCCATCGTGTGCGTCAAGACTCACACCTGTTAGTCATGTACTAATCGAGACCCCCGCTGCGCTTACTTCATTCCCTGCCTCCACCTCTCATCCCCCTCCTCTTTCACGCCTTTTCTTCTTCCCGTCTTTCATCATCAGCCGTTTCCCATCCTCTCTTCTCCTTTCTCTCAGTAGGTTTTCAGTGATTTCATTTCCCTGTCCAACCCGTTACAAAATCTCACTGCGGCGGCAGATGGTGGTGCCGTGTTTGGACTGAGCCATGTCTCTTAGCAACACTGTCTCCCTTTATTTCTCGTCCTCCAAACCCAGAGCAGCGGAGGAGCCAGTGTTATGATGCTCTGTCTGGGTCTTTCTCTGTGATTGACCCGACCGCCTCACAGCGCCGATGTCTATTTTAATGTCTTTGATGCCAAAAGTAGGGCAGCGGCTGGCCGCCTGGATTACTGAACATGTGTAATGATTACATCTGATGCAGGGCAGCAGGGAATAGGACCACCTCTGTCCCATGGGCAAAATAATGTCATTTCTAACCTAGATTGAACAGATGTTTACACATGTTCTGATGGCGGTAAAAAGTTAAAAAAAAACAAGCCGAATCCCATTTGGGTCATGGTACGTTAAGCATTTCTTTATCATCCCGTGACCTAATTCTCAGGATTGTTAAAACTAAAACAATTTGAGTTTTTCCACTTTTGAGACAGACGAGTCCTTCAAAAACGCACGGAAATGAGAACAAGGACACGCATCATCTAGTATGTCCTGCTCCCCGCCCCGCTCTGTTTGCTGCAGCGAGGTGTACTTGAAGGCTGGCATGCTAATTAGTTTTAGCATGTTAGCTTTTTTAGCCACAGATCATGGAACCTGACTCCTCTCACAGCTAGATTTTCACCTTTAGCTAAAACCTTTAAATTGTGTCCGTTCACAAAGGGACAGTTTTTAAAGTTGTCGACACTCCGATGTAACTGTTGCGTTGTTGCCATTATTTCATTTACTGCTGTGATGTTTGGTGTCCTTAGATGCAATCGATTGCCAGCAGAACACCACAGAAACCCCAAAAGACTCTTAATAACTTACAGAGTGATCATCCATTATGGAAGCCTAAAACCACAGACTGACACTTCAGGGTGCTGCAGAGGGAAAACACACAGTACAGCAATACCAGCTACTAGCTCTGTTATGATGCTGCTGCCCCTGATTAATTGCTTTCATTAACTTTTCCAGATGCATTGTGCAAACAGCCTAATTATTTTCCGTGGGGTCTGTTTACAGCTCACAAGAACACGAACATCCTCTCAGTCTTTCAGCAGAGGAAAACTTCTATTTAAAGTAACCGAAAAACTACAAACTAGATACATAGGTGGTGGTAAATATTGGAAATCAACAAGGAGTCTTTTTCTTTTGAGCGGGGACACCTGCTGTTTTTGTTTACTTGGGCAGAAGTGCCCACAGGCCTCAGTGGAGAGAGAAGGTTGCTTTCTTTTCCTCCTCATGCTGTGACCTCATATCTGTGTCAGCCATTCAATCCGAGGCCAGAGTACAATGAGCCGGCCGGCACAAAAACGTCGTTCAAAGAGCTGCAGTGAGGCCGGCCTGAGTGATGACACTTGCTGTTCAAAGGGCTGGCTGTCTGGTTAGGATAAATAAAACCCCACCAAACTGCAGGAGCGATCAGACACTTACATCCTGTGTCCATACAGCCAGTTGACAGTCACATCGGAAATATGACACTTCGGCCCTTTGGAGATTTTTTTTTCTCTGCTTTCTTGAGAATCGGATCATGCAGCGAAAGGTTTTCTTCTCTGAGAGACACATCAGGGCTCTGGGTCTCCCGCTTGCGCTCTGCAGTGACAATTTGTTTGTTAGTTCTCATGCAAATCCCTCCTCGACCCTCTTGTGACTCAGCTGTTTTTCTGCTGTTTGAATACCTCACAGCTTATAATCAGCTGCAAGACGCAGAGGTAAAAGTCCTGCGAGTTTCAGCTCAACGGACAGTAAACAGAAGCAAATCTGCATACATTCAAAGCATCCTCTGACTTCTCATCCATAACTCCCACTAAGAAATGTCTTGATTCTCACGGTTGGTTGAAAGAGTCAACATCCGACAGATGACTAAAAAAGATGACTAAATATTATCGAAGAAAATATTAAATCTGATGCAAATCAAATTAAAATTTGCAGTCCATTTGCTTCTGTAGAAGAGATATGTCACATAGCAACATATTCCAATGCGAGTACACACCAGAGTGTCATCTGCATAGCGCTGATGCACATCGTTTCCAAAACATGGTCAAAATGTGCCAAAGTGGAAGCAGATGCAATGGAAAAACTTAAGACACTAAAACAGAACCTTGTAGCACAACGTGCTCAAAACAAGTGGAAGAAACTTCACTTGGGTGGACAAAAAAAAGATATAAAATATCTGAAGCAGAACCCTGTCCATCCACTCACTATTCCATCAAGAGTAACAACAGTGGACCAGAAGAGTCGCTTTCTCGTCAAACGTTTCCTGGATCTCAAAAACAGCTGCAGGAAGAATTTTATGTCAGCTGGAAGGTAAAGCAGCTATTTTTAGAAAGCAGCACTTAAGCCCACCCTGGTGCTGCGGTACGTGACCGTGAGGCGGCTACTCTGTTGTGACAAGCCTCTGGAGGTCACCGGGACGCTTTGGCACAAAGGAAACTGGCAGGTGGGTTTTGTCACAGAAATCTTCTCAATGCACTTTTGCTAATTAGAGGCATAAGATGTTTTGTGGTTTTCTTCTGCTGTACAGACTGCACAGTGAAAAAGGTTCACTGACCTCCTTTGTTTCACAGTAAAAACACAACTATAATCTACAGTGAGGGATAAAAATAGATTTTGTTCGCATTTTCTTCCAAAAGGTCAGATTTACTCATAAGCCTGACTATAGATCGAGTTCGATTTAAAAGATAGCAAATACAAAATAATAATCCTTGTTTGCTTTGGAGCAGAAAATGCATCATTTAGGTCTGGATCAAAACTTAAACCTGGATAACTCAACGCTTTGGCAGTAATGAGTCAGATTATGCTACTGTGTTTGTGTGATAGTCCCCTGACTCAAGTCTTTTGTAAGAGTTTCTCTGTTGCAACAGAAGTAGAGTATTCCAACAGCATGATGCTGCCACCACCACGTTTTAGCCACACGGGATTTTGCATGTAGGCCAAAACGTAACATTTTGGTTCCACTTTATTGCTCAGGTTTGCTGTGTCCCACTCCCTATGGCTCATGGAAAACTGCAAACAGGAACTCTTTTGGCCTATTTTTTAAAATTTTTTTAACCCCCCCAACAATGAATTACTTTTTGCCACCTGCAGCTCCACAAGAGTGACCATGGGACCTGTTGGCTGCTTCACTGATAATTAATCCCGATGTCCGGCCTGTCAGTTTAGATGGATGACCGTGATTTAGCAGCTTTGCAGTTGCATCACACTATTTATAGAACGATGAACTAAACTGTGCTCTTTAAGAGTTTCCATAAACTTCTTCACAACCTCCTCTCCGACCTGTTTCTTGGGCTTTATGGTGCCGTTCGTTACTTTGTGAACCCCTGAAAAAAAGGTGGGTCACACTGCAACATTTATTAATCCGGTGACTTGCGAAGGTAATAACCTGGAGTAGATTAAGGATATACGCAACATTTTTGAAAACTCCGTGCAGGTCTGCCAAACAAAATCTTTGATAAAAATCAAACAAAGTGCACTGAAGAGGTTCAAGGAATCTGAACACTTCTTTTTCAGCATTCTTTGTCGAATCTGCTGCCAGGAGACCTGCTGTAAGGACGGCGAGCTCCGGACTGCAGAGGCTATAAATAGTTGAGGCTCTGCCTTCCTTACAGGCAACACCCAGCACTTTCTGCCTGCGACAGGACAGCAGCACAGCTCCACTCTGCACACACCACCTCCTCTCAGCATAGATAAAAGAAAAATAAAAAATAACACGTTTGAAGAACGGGTCCTTATATTGGAATAATATCGACCAACTGTTAATTGGCGAGAGGATTTTTAAAACTCGCTGGCTCACTCAAAGCTGAACCACATTTTCCAAGTTTCACTCACCAACCTTTAACTACTCCTGCTTCACGCAAGCAGAGTCCTTGTTCTCACTGAATGTTTTGTTCACTAAAGTTATAAGTTAAACAATTGTCTCACTGACTTCATTTCTTGTTTCTTCAGTGAAACATTTGAAAAAAAGGACCAAAACAAAAACACTCGAATTTCCTCTTTTCTTCATGTTCATAGTTCATCTGCAAAGTCCGGCAGTCACAGGGTTTCGTTTTACAGCCTTATCCTAAATTGTATTAAGTTAATCTCTTTCCTCAAAATGCTACAAACAAATACACCATTGTGGTTTTTTCTTTTTCCTTTGGAGATGTATTAAAAATAGAAAGAATTTACGTAAATATTCAAGCTGTTGCCATGAAGCTCCAACTATTTCTGCTGCTCTGAATGTCCAAATGAGTAAAGTCAGCAGTCTTCCTAACGACAGTGTAGGCCAGGCCTGTCAAACTCATTTTGGCAAATGTAAAACACCTGAATGTTCATGAAGGGCTGCTTGTGCCACAATGTTTTGATAAAACCAATTAAATTACAAAAATAAAAATTAATAAATAGCAGTAATTTCACTATTCAATAAGTGTTTCTTAAAATAAAATATTGAACATGTTTCCCACTGATCAGTCCAGCTGGGATTTTGTGATTTTTTAAACATTTTTATTTGGATTTAAAATCACAAATTCTGCGGCACCAATTTAGGAACAATTGTAAGGACTTTCTACCATATTTGTACTGATGTGCGATGATAAGTGTGACTTTTTATTAATCGTATCGGACACAGATAACTAGACATCAGGTAAGGCTGAATGAAGTGCGTGTCACTCAAACACAAAGGAAAAAATGTCAGTAAAATCTGAAAGAATTTGGGAATCTCTTGATTTTGTGGATTTGTGAAAAACTGGAGGGTCTTACTGATGCAATTTGGAGTCTAAAAAGCCGTGTAAAAAGCTACGGCTGGTCAGATTTGGTGACACAGGAGGTGCAGGCAATAAGATCACATTTCTGTCTTAAGAATTTGTTTTTTGCTTTTCTCTTCCGAAAAACAGAATTTCTGAATTTTAATACATTTTCAGTCTGGTGGCAGCTAAAGCCAAGAGGTTTAATGGTCGATGTCAGACAATAAATAAAACACCGGCTCACTTCACCCCTCAAAACAACTGTTTGAGCGGGAGGTAAAAACAGACACTAGATTCAGTCGTCAGTCTGTATTAATGAATCAAAGCATTTATTTCAAAAACTGGAAAAATAAAAACACACCCACCAACATTGGTTTAGTATAATATTATACAAAGACACATTTCAATGTTGCTATGTGAGTATCTGTCTCTGACTACAGTATGAGGCAGTTTGAAAAGGCTGGCTGAGCTGGTGGATCTACAAACACAAACCCCAAAACAATAAAGGGACCAAAGGAAGAAATTATAAAAAAAAAAAGGTTAATTAATAAAAAGTATCTGAGCAAAGAATAAAGAGTGAAAACCAAAACATCTCTCAAGTTGTGTGCACTTTACCTTTCAAGACACTTGAGATACCACTGTGAGGAGACTTCTGTCCATTCTTTCTGGACTATATATTATTCTCCAGGTGAATCAGCTAAAACTGTGATTAAATACAACAACCTGGAAGTAACAGTAAATGATGCTTGCTTTAACCTGGTTGGAGCAGCAGATGGCAATAGAAACGTATCTATTTTTCTTCCGACTACCTCGCTGTTTTGTCTTTACGTGGAAGAAAAATGAGCTAATTCAAACCAAGCAGCGCCTGTTAAAAATAAAATGAAAAAAAAAAAAAAAATCAACAACAGCATCAAGTGAGGCTGAGCGTTAAGACACAGAATCGTCATCGGCGTGAACACACAGGAGGAAGGTGAAAGGTGTTGGCTAGAATCGAGAAAGAGAAACAAAAACAAACAAAAAAAAAGCTCCTGCTCTTCTCGGAGAGTCCAACTTAAAGAGTCGCTTCATTAGACCGAGCAGAGAGACGCATGGGAATAAAAGCCGCGTGGCGTTCAGGTGCACCGGATCGTCATGAGGAAAGAAAGGCAAACAGTTCTTTGCAACAACAAATGGCTTACAGTCTATGCCCACAGCTACTCGGTCTTACGGGATCCGTTAATGCACCAACTTCTTGTACTGTGAAGATGATCAGTGATGAAATGTTTAAAAACAAAAGCTTCTTATGCAGATTCCTCTAAATGATCAGAAAGTTCATTAAGACACGCTTCCTCTCTGCACGTGATTGGATCCCAGATCTGAACCGACGCATTAAATGTCAATGAAATATCAAACTTTGTATCATTCTGATTTATAAATACGTTGCAAAAAAGGAGAAAAAAAAAAAGAATGTCTTGTTAGTGTTTTGTGCGGCAACCTCTACCTCCGAGCTCCGACAACGGACAATCCCCTCCCTCGCAATGCTGACTACTTTTATCTGGTACAGTAAAAAATGGACTTTAAAAATAAAGTGGAGGGACGAGGGTCGTTTAGCTTAACAGTCCCGGTCGTTACAATGGCTAGGACGTGGAAGGCAGAAAGCCCGGAAGCCGTTCGGCCTTTAAAAAAGTCACAGTGAGAACAGAAGAGGAAGAAACTGGAGAGCAACTGCGTGGAGGAAGCTCCTTCAGCTGATTCAGCTCGTGACGTAGCGCGCGTCAGACGGCGGCGGACAGAAGAGCAAGCGCAGCAGCCGAGCTACATGGAGACGCCGTGATCCACCCCCACTCTCTGAGAGTTTGGGCCCCTTGTGCTCGTGTTGCGTCCTGCGCGACTCCTCGACGCTGCGCAGTCATGAAAACGGGGGACTGGAGACAAACGCAGCGGTGTTGCAGCAGAGAAGGGAGGCGACACTCCTCCATCATGACCCCCACCTGCTGCCGCAGCACCTCTGTGAGACAGACGCTAGCTGGCGTGTATGAAGAAGCGAGAGGGATTGGAAAAAAGAAGCACCTTTTCATTTGGCTTGGATATAACCAGCAGATAAATGTGAGGGAAGGCGGAAAATAAAACAGAAGCGTGTCTATAAATAAAAGGAGGTGGAGAGGAGAAGCTCTTCGGGTGGAAGAGGAGGAGGAGGAAGAGGGGCTTTCATCCTGTGCCTGCAGAGGAAGAAGAGGAAGAAATTCCAAACATTTCAGCCACATTACTTTCAGGAATCTTCCCAGGAATGTGGTTCCCCTTGTGTGTTTTTTTAAATCATCACCTTCCTCTTCCTCGCCCCAGCCCTCTGCTACACCGGCCAGCTCGTAATGCTTCTTCCTCAGCTCGCCCAGACGCTCCCGTTCCTTCTGCAGGCGGGTCTCCAGCTCCAGAACCAGAACCTGAAGACAAACAGGATTTCATTAGCAACTCAGTTCTGGGTTTTCAGCAGTTACAACAAACAAACAAAGTGTTAGGACCCTTACAGATGTCTTTCTTATTGCAAGTAGGAACGACAAGAACCTCGAAAGAAAAGCTGCTTTTATTTCAGCCACATTGAAGGATTTTCAAGCATTGAAGTCATGGCGCAAGATCTCAAGTCTAGACTTTGACTAGGCCGCTCTAAAACTTTCATTTTTGTTTTTTGAGCCATTCTAGGGTGAATCTCCTCATCAATTTTTCGCTATTTAATAATTGCTACAGAAGATTTTTGTTCTTGATAAAAGAAATCAGAATTTGAAAACTGTCTCTTGCATTTAGTCAGGTTACTTTTGGATTATATTAACATTTGTTTGATCTAAAACATTTAAATGTGAAAAAAATAAACAGAAACAAAAGAGAAATCTGTTGGGGAGTTAAGAATAATAGTATAATTTTTTTTGTACGATTCTATTGAATTAATGTATTGAATTATTCAGCTCAATAAGCAAGTTTATATAAAATCACCTATACATTCAATATTTTTGCCCAGAACTATATCAACACCAGAAATTCTTACTTTTCTGTGCAATAAAAGCAAACAGATCATATTAAGTATCTGTTTTGATTTTTCAGAGTGTGTCATTTTTATTCAAGGTTACCTGTGCGTCCATCTCTTGTCGCTTGATCTGGGTCAGAGTCATGCTGGAGAAGTCCATTGTTTCTAGACACACATTGAGACAAATCAAACTGAACATTTCCTCCACTTTGCCACGTTTATTTAGATAAATTAAAGAATTAAGTTCATAAAAAGCGAGTCGGTGAGAAACGGCGTCATTAGCCTTTGCCTCTAACCTGTATCTTCAATCTGGGATTTCCCAGACTTGGTGGAGGCCACAACAGCGGCGGTCGCCTGGGTGACGCCGCGGGACGCCTGCTGCAGTCGGTGCAGGTTCGCGCTGTCTTTATCTGCCTTCACCTACAGGAAAGAAGAGGCAATATGGACAACCACCAACAAGAAAAGCAATGTGAAAAGCAAAAAGAAAGTGCAGAAAACAGGAAGAAAAGGAAAATAGAGTTTTGATTGTTTACCTTTGAAGCAGCAACCAGCTGTGCTGTGCTAGCAGCGATTTCATGGGAGCACACCATCAGCTCCTCAAACTTCCCTTTCCCCTGCACCACCATGTCGGCAGCGTCTCTGGGAACCGAACAGCTGAGTTAGCTCCAAATGAACGAGAGGATGCTTTAAGAGCACTCTGGTGACACCAGAAGTAAATAATTAAACATCCTCGTAACATTCAGCGTATACGTTCGTCTCATTATATGCTGAATGAGCTTCTGCATATTTAGGAGTCTCAGAAGGAGGCCGGCGGCCCACGCTGCCGGCTGAGCAGACAGAAGTCTTTTCATACTTACACCATGACCGTGGCGCCCCATCCGACAGCTTTGGAGGCAGAGATCAGGCCCTCCGTCCAGCGGGAGTTCTTCGCATAAAATTCCTTCATGGAGGCTGCCCCCTGGTGGACAGAAAAGCAAAAGCAGCTACACAGTGAGACATTCATCACTTCATTTACTCTCAGGCACAGGAACAGACTGCAATTAAATGTACTTAAATCAACGTTAATATAATTCAGTTCAATCAAATTATATTCAATTAAATTTAAAATAATTAACTTGTATTGCAGCAACTGCATAAAATAAAATTAAGAGTCTATTAAAATTAGTTGCTGCCATCTGGTCTTATTTTAAACACAATTTAACATCCTGATCGTTATTTAAACCAGGGTTCCTTTAAAATTGCAAATTCAGAACTTATAGTTTCCGTTCCGATTCCCACATTTAAAACAGTTCGACATAATTCAGCAAAAAGCATTTCCAAGCTTTGTCAACTTTACACTGCAATCTGTGATCAGCTATATTTAATAATATGAAATTATGTGTGGAAATTTCTCTTAATCGCACAAATACTTGGAAAACACTAAAACTAGACTCCATACAACCAAGCCTTATGTAAAAGGCTAAAACTCACCCTTCCACTCTCCACAATGTCCCTTTGCAGATCTTTCGAAGACAAAATAAGCTCCTTGATCGTCTGCATCAGCTCTGTGCAGGAAGCCAGGATCCTGCAGGGGGCGACAGAGCACAGAATATGAACAGTGACCTGCTGCAGGTGCTGGAGAAACACTCCAGGTTAAAACACCAGAGAGGGACGCAGCAGAAAAACTTGATGTGAAGAAGGAAGAATAAAAAAATATGTCAGTTCGCCCAGTGTTGCTAGACACAACTGATGTATAGCTATAGTTGTATCTCTTATTATCCCTTTAATAGTGACAACACTTTTAGTTCACAAAAAATGCTTTATAGTTTTGAATTGAAACCACTTTAACTCGTTCAAGTGATTCTGCTCTTTGTTCAGCTCAATCAGTCGAGATTGTCTCATAATTTTCATTTGTCTTTTTTTTTAATCTAAGCTAATAATACACAACTGATGAACCGGGTAGTTTTAGCTGTTTTGATACAATGTTACATTCAGAGCGATAATTTGGGTGCAGAAGCCGTTTACTCAGCAGTAAAATGTGATTAAAATGTTTCAGACTAGAGGCTTTAATGACTGACTTTTACTCCCAGCTCATGATGAGCTCTGCATGAATCCAGTTATGTCTCAGGGCTCACAGTTTCATGAAAGAGAAATTAACTCCCAGCAGGCTCCACGTTCTTCCTCTGATCTGAGATTTACCTCTCGTTGACCTCCATCTTGATTCCTGTATCGACTGCTCGGGACTTGTTCAGCATTTCCTGTCGGGACACAGAGGCACAGGGGAGGGAAAAACAAAGACATTTTCCAGTCAGTACCGTTCTGAAGTGAATCGGGGGTGGCTGGAGAGGCGGAGTCATTCACCTCTATCCTGGCGGCTGCGGACTCCACAGCGGCCGAAGTGGCAGCCATTTCCTGCTCCACCAGGTCTCCCAGCTCCCCCTGCTGCAGCTCCAAACCCCGCGGGCGCAGCTTCTGGAATCAGAACGAGACGCGTATAGCAACGCATGCTGATCAGATCAAACGCTCGCGAGTCGGGAGTGACTCGGACCTCTGCTGTGGCCAGGATGGCCTCCAGAGCCGCCCTCAGCTTGCTGCCGTCGGCTGCTGCCAGGCTGTCCTGTTGCTTCAACTGGCCCAGCAGAGACAGAGCTTCTGATCCGCACGTCTTCACGCTCTCCGACAGCGCTGCAGCGAAAAACAGAACACGCAGGACGGACGGGTTAATGTTTCGGACTCAGAGACACGGGAACGAGGACAAGCAGCAGAAATCCTGACGTGATAAATGCAGAGTGGAGGACAGCAGCATGCTGGTTTCATTCAGTTTTTATCCGCTGTTCACTTCATTGTGTCACAGTTAATGATGAGCTGATCAGTCGGCCTCAAACTATTGTCTCGTGGCACTGAGGTCATTTTGAATTTAGTTAGTAATTAGACAAAAGTTGGAGACGTAAGGGAACATCTCAGTAAATTTGAATATCAAACATTTACTTTAGTGGGAGGGTTGTTCAGTTAATTTTGATCATATAATAATAATAATAACAACCATTTCATATTTTTCAAAGGAGAGCAATCAGAATATTACATCATACAGATTTCAGGGAACACACAAACTCACCATTTGTGAAACAAAAGCACTAAAATGATGGAATCGGGTTGAATATAAACCAGCTCTTATGTTTCAAATGTTCGACTAATATTTAGAGGCTGAGGGACAGATACAGTTCAACAGTTTGCACAATATGGAGGAGGGTGTGGGGTAGATTTATGGAACGGGATGAGTAAAGAGTTAACGTGAAGCCTTTTTCATTTGTGGTCAAAATAATAATTAAAAAAAATATCAATCATTAAAGTTAATGAAAACTCCACATTGAGTTTCTCACAAGATTCGGACATCAGTCCGGTTCCAGTTCTGCGTTAGAAGTTGTGAGAACTCATGGCTGCCAGCCACAGATCTGTTATGCTCAGGCATGTTTAGTCTTGCCGTCTGAAGAGAGGGAAAAACAACATTACTCGGCCACAAGGTTAGGAGCTTCTCGCCTGAAACGCGTCCAAAAGCTATTTCTGACTGCAATGTGAGCGTTGTAGAAATGCCTTTGATTAACAGATTAAGAAGCAATAACAAGATGATTATGTCTTGATGCGGCCTGAGGACCTGCGCTGTGGTGCAGCACAGGGGAGACCCGCAAATTTGCTATTTTTGTATTTCTGAGCACTTTTCTATTGAATTCTTTTTATTTAAAAATGTTGCTACTATGATTAAACAATGATTTTTCACAGGCCAGATTTAATGGTGCCCCCCGGGCCACTTGATGCCCTACGTGCGGTGTGTTATGTGTGTGGGCGTCGCGATGGTGCTGCCTATTACATTACATTACATAAACACGACTGCTTTTCAACTCAGCCTTAATGAACCCATGTGAAGAAAGAACCTCAGAGACACATCAGGGCATGTAAACATCTGCCTCACCCACAGATTCACATCAGGAGACGCCATCCATGTCTCACAACTGCAACACACACACACATTCCCACACACCTACCGTCTGCTTGCTCCACAGGAACCATGTGGGAGGTGGCGCTGCCCTGAACGATGGTGTCGCCCACCAGGTGGCCACACTGGGTCACCACTCGCACCAGCTCCAACACGGCTGCACCAAGCATGACGCAGGCAGAGGGACAAAATATGATAATCAATGTTCATTTCCAATTCCATATTTGTGCAGCATTAGGACTGCTAAATGTCAGAAAAGCATGTAATTCTAATACTATTGCTACTATTGCTTAAAATTACAATGAAGTACGACTAACGTACATTTTCGTTCTTGTACTCTTGAACTTTTTGGATGAAATTTGGTGCTTCCAGAAAATTGTTTGTACTTCTACAGTTGTTCTCCGTAGTTTACCGAGTTTGTGGACGTTGCCTGGTTGGCTAGCATGAGCCGACTTTGAGAAATCAAAAAATGTTGTAACTCACGCCCCCTTAAAACCACAGCATGTTACTTCTCTAAGAAGTTTTTTTCCATATTTGTTAAAACTGTCACGATATCCTGACGTCCTAAAATGAGACAATCTGTGTAAAGATTGAGCTCCTCTGCCTTCAGAAACAGACAGAAACACCCAAATCAGTCACACAACCAATCAGAGTCAGGAGGAGGGTCTTAGCGCCATCAATAATTAGCAATTTCAGCTTCTCACCTGTGTTGTCGGCCAAGAAGGCCTCTCTGGCGCTCTGTAGCCGCTCCATGGAGTCTAAAGAGGCTTGGCATCTAGACGCAAGATAGTCTGTAGAAATGGACGGACACAATGAGAGCCTGTCCACGGTGAGTGACTGAGGCGGCTGCTGAGCTCTGTGTGAACCTGACCTGCAGAGCTGGTGCAGCTGATGTGTGCCGGATCGTCTATCTGAGCTAACGAGTCCTGGATGATCCGCTCGGCCTCCTCCACGGCTCCCTGCAGGCTGGACCAGCGAGCCGCCACCAGCTGACTCTCCAGCGCCTGCTCCCTGCTCTCCTGTGGTCAGAGGTAAATATTTGACTGGGCCCGTTAGCGACGTGATGCTTCCTGTTCACCAGAGCAACTCCTGACCTTCTCATTGAGCTGATTCTGCAGGGCCTCGGCCGTCTTCACGCCGCTTTCCCGCTCAGTCGCCAGAGAGCTCTGAACTCGCTGGAGCTCCTCCCCCTGGACCGCGAGCTCCGCCTCCACCTTTGACAAAGTCTGAACCAGCTCTGCTTTCTCGGACTCCAGGGCGACCAGCTGTGTGCCGAGCACTTCGCTCGACTGCGTCCAGGAACACGCCATCATGGAGGGAAAGAAGGCAACAGATTGGTGATTTTTATGCAGGGGGACGGATGATATGTAGCTGACGGAGAACACCAGGATGTGGTCCGACCTCACTTTGAAAACACACTTCATCCAGGGTTTTTGCCGGACTCACAAACTCAAATTTAAGACCTTTTCAGGAGCATTATGGATGGAATTTAAGTCCTATATCTCCATGAAAATATACAAAATTCATCCAGACAGCTGGTGATATGATATGACTAAAAAAAAAAAAAGCTAGCTAGCAAAAATATGTTAGTAGTGAACAGCGAGTCACAGAAATCAATGACGATTTGTCCACACGGCTCAAACTTATGTCTGACTGAAAAGTCCCAGGGGGAAGAAAAAAAAAAAGAGGTTAAACAGATCAGCCACGACAAAATTTAAAGATCTGTGATTAACATGTTTGAGGCCATCTTGCCTCTTTTTGAATGAATTTAAGACATTTTAAAACTTCTTAAGGATGCACTGACAGCCTGTTATCTTTAGCCACTAGTTTGAGTGATGCTTCCTTGATTTGAGGTTGTGGAGAGCCAAGGAAACTCCAAGGAGGTTTGGGTTGAGGTCAAAGACAAAGTGGGAAGCTGAGGTTGTGAAACCAGTGATGACAGCGTAGCTGATCTTTAGACTTTAAAATAAACATCAATAAAACGTAAGGAAAGGAAAAAGAAAAGAACAGAAAACTTACGATCTGAGTTGTCAGTGGGTCCAGAAGACAAAGAGAGGAAGGAACAAGAAACAGCAAAGTTTAGAAGAGCAAGAGAACAAGAGAAACAAGAAAAGGAGCTGGAGATGTCAGCTGTGTTAAAAACAGACCACAGGGATTAGATGGAGACAGGAAGAGTGGCAGTGCTGATAAGACCAGAATACAAAACGAGGACATCACGAATGGAAGGCTGGGGAAAAAAATAATTCAGGTGAATATTTGAGAAACTTGTTGGAAAGAACTGGGAGCAAAAACCAGTGAACTGTTCATTTGATGCATTAATTCATTCAGTCACACACCCACACACATACCCTCCAAATCTTTATATTTAGCTACATGTCAGCTCTGAAAACCAAATGTCTCATTATAGAATATAAGTGGCCAAATATCAGCAACAGTTTCAACATTTTACTGTTTCTTTTTTACTGCCAGGCTGCTACAAACATTCACTTCCTTTAAGAGCAGCAACAAAAACATTCACAAATCTCAAAAATAAAGGTTGATTCTTCAAAAGAGTCACAAAGTTGCTAAGGCTGAATTTAAACCTGTGAAATGATAGAGGCATCGATTCCAGTCAAGGTTAATGATGTCTTTCCTTCAAACAAAACAAGCTAAAAAAAGTCCAGTTCTCCCATTTATAGTCATTGTTATCACCATTAGTCAGGATTTAGTCATCCTGCCTGACCTTATTAGGAATGGACTCGTTACTGGTATCAAGGAATGCCTACGGTTTTAAAAATAGCAGCTTCAATACAAGTTTGTTTTTTTTCCATGAGATCCCAGAGAAAGTGGCAGAACAACTGGAGTTTTCTCCAGACGGATGGTGCAGAATTGAGACCGATCAGCTGGCTGAAAAACAACAACAACAACAAAAAAGGCTACAGCACTTAAACTACCTAAATTCTGTCTGTTTAGAAATATTTCGAGCCACATGGACAGGAATGATGTGGAAGCTAAAAAAGGTCCACCTGTCACTCTTGTTAAGGTAAACGTACAGTCGGTGAAGCGTGAGAGGTGTGAGTCAGCAAAACATCCTGAATAATTAACCAGCTGCTCTGATGCCTCACTGCTTCAACACACCTCATCGCCTGGGCAAATGAAACTGAGTTCTGCATAACCCTGCTAAGGATTTAACTCAGGCTTGTAAAAGCAGATATCAAACCTGTAAGACATCCGGCACAGAGTCCTGGCTGCCAAACATTTCAGCAATTTCAACTTTATTTTAATTTTCAGTATGTTCAATACTTGAAGCACAATGTTCAATGTATCTGAAAATGGGCCGTTTAATTTTTTTTTTTCTTTTTGTTTGGTTTATTCTGATCAGCTCGGTTTCAGAATATTTCATCCTTGAATCAAAATCTTGACTGGATTATTTGAAACTAAATGTATACAGATTATACATTGGATACTTTTATTCTGCTTGTAAAAATAAAAATTCTCTTTTTAACCATTTTTTCCTTTTTTATGTTTTGTTTTTATAGATGTTTAAGCCTCGACTTTCTTTTTCTAGATGTCATCTGGGCCTGAAAATGATCAAAGATTCTTTCTTTAACACAAACTATTACTTGAAAAACATGGGCCAACTATATGTAGGAGCAATTAGACAGCCACATCCAGTTTAACTATAATAATGTGAAATTGTTTTGTTTTTACTTGATGTAATCAAACGTATGCGTCATATATCAGCTCCATACACAAGATAAAAAATGCATAAAATCAGTCTAAAGCAGGACATGATTGTGGAAGAAATGCCAAACTCTGATGGTGAAAATGTTGCCGCAAATTGGATTATCAAAGGTTTAGATTATTTACAGCTCAATCAGGATCATTAGTAAATCATCAAGATGTCCCATCTTTGTTCCTAGCAGCTGCTGAGACTGACCTGCTGGGACGAGGCCATGCTGGTCTTCAGGGAGTCCAGTTCTGTCTGGGTGGAAACCAGCTCTCTCTGCAGCTCCTGAAGTTGCTTCACCTGTTCCCTCTCCTGAACGACAAAAGGCGTTTGTCACTCGGGTCACTTTGTAGCCGGATGACTTTAAAAAAAAAAAAAAGGGTGTGGGGGTACAAAAACATTTTCTGTGGCCCTCACCTGTCTGTCCGCAGCCTCCTGCGCGCTCTTCACCTTCTCCTGCATCTCCCTCCGGACCGCCTCCACCTCATCCTGAGCCGCCCGGGCCACCGTCATCTGCCGGGTGACCTCTGCGTTCTGCACAAAACGGCACGGGATCGGACTCTGAAGAATTGTGAGCTGCAACGAGGACATGGAGGGATCTGGAGACGGCGTCCTCCTCACCTTCCTCAGCAGGTCTGCATGACTCTGAACCAGTTCTGTGTATTTCTCCTTCAGCTTGGTGTAGCGCTGCTCGTTGGCCTGAGCTTTTCCTGGGAGAGACAGAAATGGACACAGAAAGCTTACAAAAACATTAGCAGGCGTAACATTTACTTCCTTACTGTACATAAAGTAATATATCATATCATTGTTTTAGCTCAGTTTATTTATGTTCCTCATATATTAAATTCTGACAAAAGTGACCTAAAGTATTATTACCTCTCTGCAAGACATCATAGCACAGCTAGGCATTTTTGTCTCTTTTACTTTGCAATGTAGTTCAAGATCAGTCAGATTACAAGAAGGTCAGCTGTTAGGTTACATTCACGCCAGCCCTGTTTAGTCCAATTTATTTTTTATTTCGTTTGCATAAAAAGTTCAATTTGTTTGGGGAGATGCAAATGCACAAACAAACTCTGATATGGATCAAAAAAGCAAACTAGTCTGCCTAAAAGCCTTGGTCTCTGCTTGATTAAAGTAATTAGAATATATGCATTCTAGTTCGAATGCATATATTAAGTAGGAAGTGGATTGTAGAGAAGGGAATTCTGGGTAAATTAAAAAAGAAGAAGAAGAAAAAAAACACAAACATGCAAGTCTAGTCCAAGCAGGAGAAATGTTGATCCATTTCTGTTTGCATTTTGCAAAGAAGGAAGTAGCACTTATGTCTTCTTCAGAAGTTTTCATGTAGTTTCTCAAGTGATTCTTGGTGCAGCATCTCCACAGATGAAGATGAGAACGTGATGTTGATCGTGAAAGTGAACCGCACTGGCTGAAAATGTTGTAAATGTTGCAATTTTGGTTCCCGATCAAAGCGAGTCTACCGAACTGTCAGGTATAAAAACAAGGAGAGCGCCTGAGCTGTTATACAGAAATAAAAGCCGCCTCACTCTCGATTTCCGTCAGGCTCCGCTGCTCCTTCTCCGTGTCCTCCCTGGCCCGCCGCAGGTCGTCCAGCTCCGCCTTCAGGAACTCGCTCTCGCCTGCGGCCTGCAGCCTCAGGTGGCTCTGCTCGGCGAGCTCCGCCTCCAGCTCGTTGACGCGGCCCCTCAGAGCCTGACACAGCCGGCCGCTCTGTGTCAGACAGACGGGACAGCGGGCCGGGTCAAAAACAAGATAGAAAACAGAAGCAAGGAGGACGTTCCTCCGATCCTTACCTCCAGTCGGAAAGACTCTAGCTCCTCCTTGAGGGCCTGGATCTCCCTCGTCAGCTGCTCGATCAGACGGTCTCTGAGGAACACAGACAGAGGAACAAACTGGAATCACAATATTCACAGTTGATACAAACAAACAAATTGTTAACTGTCAGAGGAACATTCAATCCAAACCATTCAAACCCAACCACCTAAACCAAAAAGCGAAGCAAGTGAAACAACTACTGCTAAAAAAAAAAAGACCAGAGAAAAGCCACAAGTTGTTCCACTGAAGCCATTTTGGAGACAAAGCGAATATTTTGAAGATGGCTTTTCAGTGAGAACAGGACTCTTAACCCCGTCCTAAAAACAGCATCTCTACAGTGAAACCTGGTGATGGCAGCATGATGCTCTGGGATTGTTCTTTAGGGGAAGCTGGTCAGAGTTGATGGGAAGACAGAAGGAGCTAAATACAGAAATAAAAATAACTGGAAGAGACAGAGTACTTGATTTTGATCATTAAGATCAAGTTCTGTAGTAGAACGGTGCAGTCAAAGCTGAAGAGTTGTATTAAAATGAGAAAATGAAAGGACACTCCATCTGGACTGACTTATCTTAAACTACTACGCATAGAAAGATAAGCAAACATTTCAGATTGTAGCGACTGAAGGAGGATCTGTATCAACTCAAGAGGGACTGAACACAAATGCACAACAATAATCAAATTCTTATTCTTTTCCCAGGATCTGAATAAAAAAATTAAAAAAAACCTAAACCAAAATCCAACTGAACTCGAGACAAACACCGATCAAGACGTCACAATTAGAAAATCCGGTGATGTATTTATGAAACTCACTTGTCATCTTTGCGCATGCCGTTCTGGCTGCTGAAGTTGAACGGATCGATGGCAGCAGAAGTGCCAAACAGGTCATCAAACTTAACCTCAGAGGGAGCCTGTGGAGAGCCAACAAACCTGGTGTTTGTCTTGGAGAAACTTTTACTATTCAGGGAAATAGTAATCATTTCTTCTTGTGTGGAGTAAATGCAACAAGGCTGAGGTTTTGGAAGAGTTTTTGCCCTCACTTTTTCACTTTCAGACAGTTGTAAAATGCATAACCGTGGAAACAAGGTCAACTGGAAGAAACTGAGTATCATTTCAAATGATCAAATGATACCGTTACTATAACTCAAAACCTAATAAGTTATTTTTGAATTTGAACATGAGGGTATGTTCCAGGAGGTTCATTAAAGGCCAGGAACCATGAATCAAATCCAGGACTGCAGAGGATTTTACCGGCAGGGACGGGACGTCCGTGTCCACCAGGTCCTCCGTTTCCACCACGTGTTCTGACTCGGGAGAAGACGACTCGGCGGGGATCACGACCACGGGGCTGATGTGCTCCGACAGCGCGGACGCACGCAGAAAGTTTGGCGGGTTCTGCAAGAATCGCAAACCCGATCAGCGTGTTGCACTAAAAGCTGCTTGCAGAAAAGTTTTCAACATTTAAAGAGAGGAAACTAAACGCATGGCTCAGTTTTGGATGCTCAGCCTGTCGCGACAGGACTGATGACAAACATTTACAAACATGATGTAAACATGTCGCTGTTGCTCAATTGATTAAGCAACACAAAGTGAATCAGCAACCACAGCAGTGGGAGTATTAGGCGGTCAGAGTCATCCAAACCTCAGGCAACTGTGGGATCTGAATGAGCCTCTTGAAATACTGCAAGTTACTGGAGCGATAGAAGAGACTCTTCAGCCTGAAACAAGAGAGGATGCATGAACACAGGGTGATACTTTGAGGAAAGGCTTCTGTGCGGCTCTCAGGGAAAGTCGTACTTCTTAAACTGCTCCTGGAAGCGATCTCTGTGGCCCTGGAGAGTGTCGGCTGGAAGGCCTGCAAACACAAACAGCTCTGCGCTCAGCACAGAAAAATGTACAACTTCCCCATAAAATCGTCTGAACACGTAAAGCGTGTTTGACAGCAGCTGAGAATGACAAAAACACTTTAAAGCTGGAAAGATAAAAGTGCCGGAGTCAGAATAGAAAAGAGTCAGCTTGATACTGAGCTGGATGTTTTGGTGCTTCAGGGTGAATTTGGAGAGATTTCAAAAGCGATGCTTGTCAGAGAAACGTATACGTCTTTCAAGTCTCTCAGAGTTCAAGAATTAGTTTGCAAGTGAAGGTTGCAAACTTCAACCTTCACTTGCAGGTTGTAACAATTTTATATATATATATAATATATATATATTATTTTAAAAAAATAATAATTTGGAATCCACCACAAGTTTAAAGACCACAAAACCTGCCTTGAGGTCTGTTGGCTGACAGTAAAAACAGAGTCACACAATCAGGCAACCAGAAACCATTTTATCTGCAACTCTGTTAAAATAATCAAGTAAAAAAAAAACATACATTCTACTGTCAGATAATTTCTGCTGCAGTAAATAGACATTTTTAATGCAAAGTTGACACATTTAATGGAGCTTTAATGCAACCTTTAGTACAAGTTTGCAGAAAAAATGCCATTATTTACCAAATGACACTTCATGACAACAGTCATAGCCATTCATGAAGACTCCTTCGTGTTCATAACAGGTGTCATGTCATGTTTCTGACAGTGTCATGTCCGTCTTATGCACACCCCTTCAAAGAAAGTGCTACCTTTTCCTTTACTGCCTTGTATTTATGAAGGAACCAAATGACCCAACAAATCTGCTGATCAAAGATTTTTTTTAGATAGAAAATACTTTCCAGACCAAGAAAGGTGAAAGAAAATGGAACCAATATTCAGATGGGTTTTGATGGTGGTGCGGTTTGCCCTGCAGAGGTGTGTGACTCACAGGAGTGCAGCTTGAACAGCAGCTTGACGGTGTAGTCGTACAGATGGCTGCAGTCCAGGATGACCTGGATGAGGGGAGCCAAGCGGCACTGACCGGCCGCCGTCACCGACACAGACCGAGACATGTCCAGAGAGTTGAACACTGCGGAGGAGAGGACAACAATCAACAAGCACACTCCGAAAACAAACGTCATCTCTTCAGCTGGAGTGTCTGAGAACCGCGGTCATGGCTCAGAGTTGCTTCGAACGTGGAAAACAGGAAAGGAGTTTTAAACGGAGCGGCGAGGGAGCGACAACCTGAACAGAGTCAGGATTGTCTGACTCAGTCTCTGCCTCCATCATTACGGAGTCGGGCCACGAGAGCCTCAGAGAGACGCAGGCGTGGTTTCCTGACTGACTGCCGCGCAACACACACACTTTTCACATGACGTTACGCTTTAAAAGAAAAACAAACAGACAACAGCAGAGGAGGAACTAACATGAACCGCACAGCTCTGGTCTGTAATGCATTAACAATGAATGAGTAGAGTTATAGTTGGCACAGCTTTCATGTTCAAACTCTGACTTCCAGGGATCTCAGGCCTTTTTAAAAATGGATTTGTGAGAGATGTGTTTACAGTGCTGCTAGAGGTGGATCTGCAAAATAATGTGTTGAAGCAGAGACGCATCTAAAAGTAGCAGAACATCGGTCCTTGAGGCCTGGATTTGAGGATCCCTGGTATTTGATGTTTAAAGACATGGAACCCCAAAAAAGACAAACCAGTGAAGTGAAATCTCGTTTACTTGGAAAGGTGGAGCCGGGGGCTATGGAGGCGGCTGCATGGCATCATGAGGACAAGTAATAAGCAGTCTGAATATAATTTCCTCCTTATCTTTCATGACTGGAGGCTGAATTTGCACTCCTGGTCACCTCCTTCAGTCTATCTTTAACCGGCTGAACTTCAGGTGACTCAGTCAGGCAACAAAAGGGCCGCAGAACAGATCAGAGGTGATTTCAGCGGTCCCCATCTGTCTGCTCCCATTCATCATTGTGAATGTTACACATATCAGGCAGACTGTACTTCCTGTCTGTTAGAGAGCATCTGTGTGTGTGTGTACTTAACATAAAGGTAGCTGGTCCTATGGAGCAGAAAAACTCACCTCCAAGGAAGAGGTTAAGCTCACACTCCAGGTAGTCGAACATTTCCACTGTGAGCTGGAAGCTGCGGATAAAAAAGTTTATAATTTATCCCTCCTGGAATATAATACACATTATATTCCAGCCTTTTGGTTCCCATCAGAACAACTTCTGTTTATTTATGAACCACTGATCATCGTTATTACCTTTAGCTGATTTCTTATTTACTATCAGGTTTTGAATGAACCTTTGCTTTTCACACTCGTGTGAAAGCACCATTAAAACACAGCCGTCCTGGAGCTCAACTAGTTAAATCCACCAGTAAAGGTGAGGTAACCAGAGCTGCAGCAGCATGCCACACTCACAAGTTGTTGACGTCGTTCTCTCCCGCCTCGTCGAGCTGCCTGTTGGACATCTGAAGGTTCCCGGGGAAACGAGGGTTCTGAAACAGAACGGGGCAAAAAACAAACTTTGAACTGAAACCGCAAAGTTCAGACATCCATTTGGTGCAATTTACTGACAGAATCTGATAACTTTGACCACCAGTAGCTTCATTAAAAGATTAAATGGTGACTTCCTATGTGATAAAGAAATGTACACCTCTGCGCTGCTTTTGCATGATATCTGTTCTCAACTCAGGGAAAAGTCTTGATTAAAAACAGCAACTATAAAGTCCTAAAAAAGGCGCTCATTAAAAAAAAGAAACTTCACAAATCAACAATGCTAAGCCTGGTGGGGGCACAAGTAAAGCATGGCGGCCCGCCAGGTTTACAATACACTAAGGAAAACCCTGTTTATAAACAACAATCTAATTTAAAAAAAAAAAGAAAAAAGAAAATCAACTCCTACCGCAGAAATTAAAATCCACTATAAGTGCACAAAACTCGACTTTGGCGGAAAATTAAAAACATCTTTTTCAAATCTGTGAATTCACATTATTGCTGAGGTTTTTAATAGTGAAAAGAACCACAGAGATGTGAGAAAACATTTAAAATAAAGCTATTTTGTAGGACACGTCAAGACCTTTCTGCAGTTCATTCTGGCTGCAAGAGAGCAAGACTTTCAGCAGCTAATAGGAAGGATGAATGGAAGGCTCAGACCTCACACATATCTGAACTATTTCACATTTCTACGCTTCAGTCTATGAATAAAGTCCACCTTTGCATTATTTCTACCGTTGATGCATAATGACTAATTTATCAGAATGCTTATTGGCTCTTTGTCAATTATTCAGTCACAGCAATAAGTGTGTCAGGTTACGCGTCAGTCCACAAAGATGACACTGGACAATGTGTCCTATCCACAGCAATGCCCACAGATCTACGCCCATGATGGTTTGAAGGTATGAGGCAAAATTTATAACAATCTGCCAACAGAAATGAGAATGAAGGAACTTAGATGTCAGAGTCGCTTTACTGCCTTCAGTCGTGTCTCAGAATCCGGCTTCATGAGAGCAAGCAGCAGCAGTATCTCATGTCACCTCCACGCTTCTGCTCAGCTGTCTCATAAAAGTGCTTCATTACTGATTCTTCAAAGGATGATAATGAGTAAGCTGGAATTTCCCCCCACAGGAGGAGGGTCTGGGGCAAAGCTTACAAGGGAAGAGGAGAGGGGAACGGGGGAGGGGGACGCTGGGTTTTACTGGCCGGTCAACTCACTTTAATGTGAAACTCCATTTTGGTGATGAGCAGTTTGAGGTAGATGCTGCACAGCTTCCCATAGCCTTCACTCAGATGACCCTGAGGAGAAGAGGTGACAGAGAAAAGAATTAGCATTTTTTATTTATACATCAGCTACATAAACAATGTGGACGTAACCCCCGCTGTAACAGGTCTTCCTAAAAGGAAACAGTTCAGCATCCTCAAATATCTGCCTGGGAGTGTGTGAGAGCTAGACAACCGGAAACATGACGCCGCAGCCCTGGTCACAGCAACCCCACTTCCTGTATCCTCCTGCTGCCTGGTGACATCAGCAGGAACTGAGTCAGTACAGAGCGAGAAGGCCTCCGCCCAGCTCGCTGCTTCTCAGGCTTGCACCATAAATGTGGCGAAATAAGATTTCACTACAAACAAGTTTACCCAATAAACTATTTACGCAAGATGTTGTGGTGAACAATTTAAATGGACAATGCAAACACTATTAAAATTAAAGAATGCCATTGACGTGAAGCGCGCTCCTCCACTAATGTTTAATGTGCTCCGAAGGCTCGACTGCTGAAGAAAAGAAGCCCTCCGAGCGTCTGAAAATGTCAGCGGGTTAACCACGACATGAGGGCGCGCCAATGATCATAATCACACGGTTCTTGTCCACAACTGTTTTTCACACTGCTGATGGCTGCAGACAATCATTTAACAGCGATCTGCTCTCATCAACATGCTTCTTGCTTACTGTGGCTTTCAATCAAAAACTTTGCTGGGAATAACAACCATAAAATGGTGCAGAACTGAATGGTTAAACATTAAAGGCAGACTCTAACTGTGTGCCTCCGTGCAATAACAGCTCTAAGTATTTTGGTCTATGTCTGTTTGTAAATCAAGAGACTTCTTGCAGTTTTCTGCCAATTCTGTTTTTGGGGGAAAATGCTCAAGCTCAGTTAGACTGAATAAAGAGTGTTGTCAAGTTCTGCAGCAGATTTTCATTTGAATTCAGGTCTGAACTTCGACTGTCTCAGAAGAAATCCTGATGTAAAAGCTGCTATTCCCCAATGCAGTTTGAATATAAGAAGCAGCACAATTTCAACTTTGATGGGACAAAATGGTTTCTAAATAAAGCGTTCATTAATGCTTTGTTTGCAAATTAATGTAAATCTGCGATTACTGATCTGCTGGCCAGCATACTTTAGCAGCAGGAGAAATCAACGCGTCTTTCAGGCCGTATAAAATCCTGACATTTAGTGTAAACTTCTCTGCTCCAGCTTACCATCAGGCTGGCCTGCAGATGGAAAAACCCAGAGCACACACTCAAATCAAATGTTTTAAACTGCAGGAACAAAAACCTTCTGAAGCAAACTAACATTTTATAAATAGAAATATGTAAATTTGGCGACATTTTTTGAAAACAAGCAAAGTTTCAGTTCCCACGTTGAGCAGCTGGAATCTAAATATATCATTTTAGATGGTGTCTGAAGCATTTTCAGGTAAATTAATTTTTTGCTGTTTTCTTTCTTTACAAATGAAAGATAAAAGATAAAATGAAGTGATAGTCAGCATTTTAGCCGTTCTGCTAAAGAGAACAGAAAAAAAAATATTTCAAAGGATTGCAACCTGTTCGCCAAAATATTACGCAACTAAAACTTTACAAACAAAACTGTGCTGCAGCTTGATGTCTTTGGAAATGGTTGCATATAATTACCACAACATTAATTAATTTCAGTATTACTATCATCTATGCTCCAGGTAACCGTAGATGAAATTCTTTACAGAATGAGGAGTAAAAAGCTGAATTAAAGACCTCATAAAGGGATAGTTCAGCTACTTGAGTAAACGATTAGTCTCTTGTGCTTCATGGATGTAATCACCAGTTTTTTAAAGATCATACAAAAATTCAGCAGAAGATTAAATCCTGACATGACTTACGGCCAAATTCCCCCAACTTGTGACAGCTTGCCATAGGTCTTTGCATGACATAAGAACAATCACTTCAGTGTAGTTGCTTACCCACATCCTGCTCATATCCGCCAGATCTGCCTTGTTCCTCATGGAGTCCTTTATCACCTGCAGGTGGAAACACAAACAGATTTCCAGCACAGGTAGCAGGCAGAAACCACGGACGTTCTCCCCGATGTTTGAGTGTCCTCTGCTCTTACGTTGGGGTGCCCGTCCCGCAGCAGCTTGTGGAAGACGTGGCAGAACTTCCAGCAGAGCACGGCGTTGCTGGAGAGAGGCAGCCGGTTGACGGCCGCCCAGAAAGTGTGGGCGCCCTTCTCATGATGTGTTCCCAAGATGCACGGTGGGAGCAGCAGTCAAGGACCACCAGCTCACTCAGCTTGCTATTATTCTATGGTTTTGTGCTAAAGTTGATGTCAGTCATATTTGACAGTCATATATTACATTTAATTTGGATATTTTCTAACTTCTTTTGCTCTGAAGGGAGTTTAAGATTATAAGAAAAACATAATCGTCAATGAAAGTTAATTATTTTTTGTTTTGTCCACAACAGCGGGACTCTGATTATATAATAAGGTGTGTAAACTTTGTTGACAGGTCAAACATTAAAACGGTTTTGCTATTCTGGGCCAGGTCTACCTTCTTTTCATAGATGGCACACCTAGCAAAGCGATGCTGTGTTGAATTGCTTGAATTCGCAATAATTAACTTTATGTGCTTCTTTGGTTTTCTTTCCAAGATAAAGTCTTGATTTATCTCTTTAGTTTTAAAGAGCTTTTTTCCAAGACAAATCCAATAATCGACTAATAGCCATCGAGAAGATATTCTTAGCTCAGAGCTGCTTTCTTGGACACCGTCAGTGACAGGATCTTTTGCTGCAATTAACTTTGATTGCAGTTGCAGAGTGTGGCAATTATGTTACCCCACTAATTGATTAATCCTCAGAAAAAGTCAATAGAATAATCAATCATTCATTCATTGTGGCCCTAAAAGTAAATGGAATAATTTTTTTTGTGTTTTTGACTATGATCTGATTCTACTGAATAATTGAGACTGATCTGAGCCAAGTTTGAGCCGTTTCTGTATAACTGGGACCAGCTCATCTTAAAAAATGCCTTGAGATGGGAAATGGAGCTGAATAAACTAAATTAAATCACAAAAAAGAATCTAAAAAAAAACATATTCAACTGTTTGCATTAGACTATATTAACATGCTCTAAGAGAGATAGATGTAAAAGTGCAGCACGCTGTTTTTTTTTTATATCAGCTGCACAGCAGAACCACATGAACTAGATGAGGTTACACAGTTTGTTGTTTTGCACTAATGTAACCCTCTGCACACATGTAGAAATAAACACAGCTCTTCTCTTCAAACACACACACACACACACACACACACACTGTGAGGATATTCCTGGCATGCTTCTCTTTGACAGCGACCTCCTGTGTGTTGATAGCCTTGTTGATGCTGACAGCCTGCAAAGGGGGAAGAGAAAGGGAAATCAGCCGACAGATTTTTACTCCAGTAAAAGTTGACATCCTTCCACTACTAAAAGAGTGCTTTCAAAAAAAAAAAAAAAGTCTTCTCTAGTAATGCTTTGGGAATAGGAGGCAGCAGAGATTTTCCAGGAGAGGCTGATTGACCCATTTTCCGCAGAGTTAGTATTCAAGGCAGCAGCTCTGAAGCCTGAGCCTCTCGCTGATTTGGAGTAGCTTCACAGACGATAGAAAACCACGCCGTCATATTTCTCCTAATTTACCTAGCCACGCAGAAACAGTCTCTAGATTAAATAATGGAGACGTGACAGAGTGTCTGCATTAGGTCAGAACACTGAACGTGACTTCTAATCTTTCAGTTTGTGAATTGTATGATTTGACAACAGAAAAACAAACAGATTAGAGTTGTTGGCGGCCACATTTCCTCTGAGCCACTCTTGAGGAAACACATTTCCTCTGAGCCACTCTTGAGGAAACACAGCTGACTTGTGAGCAGACAGATTTAACGGGATGGCACCAACAATGAACCACGTGTGGATGAGCAGGGGAATATCTCAGTGTGTCATCTTTCTCTGTTATGGAATCTACTAGGAAACACTAGCCAGGTCTCAAGCTGAAGCCTCTCCGAATCAAGTTCAAATTAAGACCTTATTCGCCTCATCGGGCAGAGGAAATTTCAGGTTTCTACTTAACTCTGGCAAACAAACATAGTTACGACTGATGCCAATCTGTAGTCTGTGTCAGACATTGAGACAAACAAAAACAGATTCATTAAGAAATTGGCACAGCGATGCAACAATCGATCCGCCGCAGAGTGAAATTGACCAATCATTTCGTTATTGGATCTAATTATCCAAAAGTCAAATACTAAAATTATTCAGGATTTCCCTCCACCCCAATTCATCCAATTGTTCCAAATGTTTTGAACAATTGGATGTTCAAAACATCCAATTGTATCAAGAATTATACAAACAGCATAATTCTTGATACACTTTGTTCCAGTCCTAAAAAATATCAGAAAGAGGCTATGGGCATAAATTAAAAAAAAGGGATAATCTTGTAATTCTCTAGTTTTTTACTTTAATGAAACCTTAATCAAAAAACTTTCAGAATATGTTAAGATTATATTATGTGTTATGCTATAAAACAAGCAAAAGCAGAATCAAACAATCAAAAAAGAAGCATAATGAAATTAACACTTTATGTGCATAAGACTGACCTGACAAACATGACATAACATAAAGGAGTCTTTGTGACTGATGTCATTCAGTAAGTAAAAACACTTTTAATGCAAAGTTGCTCTAAAAGTCGCCTTGAAAGTCCATTAAAAGCGCCAACTTTGCATGAAAGTGTCATTAATTACAAAATAATGCAAAGTTGACACTTTTAATGGACTTTTAGAGCAACTTTGCATTAAAAGTGTCATTACTTACCAAATAACATCATGACAACAGTCATAACATTTGTCATAAACATGAAGGAGTCTTTATGAACGTCTGTCATGTCACTATCATGCCAGTCTGATGCACACCCGTCAAATAAAGAGCTGCATTTAATCTCAAACCAGCTATGATGTTTGACAAGTAATAATGTGCCTGTACTGCATCAGAGTTTGAGCTGTTGCTGAAGGCTTTCAGATAAAAAGTGTATTTCAACAGCATCTGGTTGACATTTTACTTCACAAGTGAGAGAGAAAAAAAACCCAGACCACTCAACCGGTCCTTCAATCCGAGTCGAGTCATATCACCAAACAGAGACTGAAACTCTAGTGTCCGCTGAACAAAGCCAAACATATATCCTGTCACTGTCACCGGAACGGTACTGCGATCAGTTCGGGTCAGCAGAATGTTAGATCCTGTTTCATAACCTCGCTTCCCACAGAGTCCGTTCCTCCTCCTCCAGTATATGAGCTGGAAGTCACTGGAGGGAGAGAAGGGGAGGAATGGGAAAGGCAGAGATGAAGCGAAGAGGGAACACTGTAGAAGCACTGGCTGCTCAGGATCTTAAATCAGTCAAACAAAACCCAGGAACATAGAGGGAAAAAGAAAGTTTTTACCTACATCTCAAACAGCTACAAGATATGTCTTCCACACACTCCATGACAGATTAACACACACGCAGGCAAATCTAATTTAAATGAAATTCAGATTAAGTCGCAGGCATGAGTCATTGGTGAAGATGCAGCATCAGGACCAGAGGAACCAGGCTGCTGCTGTTCACACCGACCCGGCTCTGAACTTCACACCATCTGCACTGATTGGGCTTCAATCCATACATTGATCAGAAGAACTGCTTGGTGCTCAGACTCTATAGAGCGCAGCACTGCTATCACTGCCCTGTTCAGGACGTGCAGAAGAAGTCAGGCTGTTAAGAAACCTCCAGAGTGTTTCCTCTGATCCAAGCCACATAGGTCAGTCAGACTGAGTTAAATTAGGCCATCTGCTTTATGAAAACAAACACTTATTTTTTGGCTGCACAAAATCTTTTAATGAAGCCGTCCCAAAGACAAGCAGCTTGTCTTCAGTACATCTCTGTCTTTACAGTCCATGTTGTCTGTTCTGTGTGTCTCTGTGTTGTCCTGAGACAGGATGGTAATTTTTGGAGATTTTTTTATTTTAAATGAACTACCATCCAGCTATAAGGCTGCACTTCAGTGTGAACAGTGGTTAGCAATGTTGTTTTGCAGCAACCAAGCTTTGCAACTCATTTGTCCAATGAACGCTGGAACCCTGGTTACACGGAGGTGACGGTTCGCTGGCTGCCTACGTTCTTATTGCACAAACACGTGAAGCCAAAAGAAATGAGAGAATGCTGACAATACCGACATGATATTATTATTTAAGATTTCATTTAGAATGTCGCAGATTTAAGGGTATTTTTCCAAATACCCTCAAATACCCTTCCAAATACTGATGCACAATAAGCATCAGTGTTTCACACTGGCCTCAAGATGCGTCATTGAGTCCAAACTGTTTTCACATTTCCTTTGCAGTCTCAACAAGGGAAGTGAGTTTTGTGTAATTTCCCCTTAAAGGGGAACATATTTCATTTACACAATAGCCCCTGTAACATATGGGTACAATAATACTGAGCCTGAATTCTTTGCATTCAAATGGCTCAAATCGAAAATAAATGTCTGCGCTTATATTTTTTTGACGCTGCCTCAAAAGATTTACATTTCCCCCTCCTTTAGCCACACACCAAACAAATCAAAAGATGATTGAGCAAACACTAGTGTGAATCATTCCCACACCAGGATGAGCCAATTAGCCCACAGTGAGACTTTGTGCCTCGCTTGGGTTGAATGGGAGCAGCAGCTGCCCAAGAGTCCTGGCGTTGGCTGAGCCGACCGCCCAGCATCAATGGCCTCTAAGCTACCAGAGGTCCAGCAACTCAGACCAGCCCACTTGGTTCAATGACACAAAATAAAACCTAACGGTTTTATTACCTACTCATATTACCTATGAGTAGGTAATACCTCAATCTACATCATCACATCCACAGGAATGAGGTCTTTGAACTTTATGCCTTCTTATTTATGTCTTCATATGATGGATTCCCAATCAATTCTTCACCAGCCGAGCAAAGAAAGCCTTGTTGCCTCAGTTTCTAGAAACATCTTTTAACACAGCTCTGCTACAAAGTGTTATTGATACAGTGCTGAAAGCATGTTAAGTTTGCCCAAGCCTTCTGTTGGAGAAGAAAAAAAAAGAGCCTGCATTGATATGCTGCTGGCAGCCTGACTGTGTCCAAAGGACCCGCGCTCGGAGAAAAGAGGAAGGGTCCCCTGCCTGCAAAATAAAACAGCCTTCACTTGTTGACTCGCGTCCCCATCTGATGCTTTGCTGTTGGGGATGATGCCTCTCGTGTATTCACAAAAGCATTCCTTTGTGCAACTCTGATTTTCCAAAACAGTCCAACGCACAGTCCAGGGAAAAACAAAAAAACATGTTTCCACAGTTTGAGCTTTCTTAAGTGACTGTTTTTATTAGCAAACAAGGACGGCCCAAGAAAATACGAAATGTAGTTTTGAAACTGCAACATCAGGACCTGAATGACTTGCAGTTTTTGACGGGATGCTTAGGTGCAAAATGAAACAAAATGAAGATAGGAAGCAAAATGGCACAAAAAAAAAACCTAAGTTGGGTTTTAGTCCACTCCAAAACTTTGCTTTTGTTTTGAGTCATTGAGAGGTGCATTTAGTTATGCAACAGGAGAGCGATGCCCCACCAAGTCTTCACAGAACATCTCAAGCAGGCCAGTCATGCTCTAGATGTGTCTAAACTAAAACAATTCAACAAAGTTATGCGGGAAGTTGCAGTCATTTGATGGCAGTTGGTGTCACCAAGGTTATTAGGCTTAAGAGGACAATTATTTTTTGGCTTGGATAGCTTTTCTTCCCTTAACTGAAATCTTCACATGGAAAATGTATACAGGTCTGATATTAACCATAGTTTGATGATTGGAAGTATTACAAAAAAAACAAAACAAAAAAAAACAATAGAGGAAATCTGTAAAGGGAGAAATACTTTTTTCACCGTAAATATACACCATGCTTTGCTCTAGTTCATTTCCGGACACAATCTATTGTGAAAATTAGGGCACCTAATTCTCCCATCATGAAAAAAAACTTTGTAGATAAAATTGAAAAAAGGAAGCACAAAACAGACACATTTTTGCTAAAAGTCTTGAGCAGGTGTGGGAGGCCTCCAGAGAGACCCTGAAATGTACTGTTGAAGGGAAGTGAAATCTTAAATATAAAACTCTGATTAAAGAAGGAGGAGCAAAAAGTTCAATAGTTACATTATTATGAAGGCAATATTTGGTATCCTATTCAATTTCAGAAACAGTTTTAGTAATTATTGCGTCTCTCACAGCAACAAAACAAGTTGTAAACTTTTGCTTCACACATTAGTGAAAATACTTAAAGTGTGTATATACTAAAGGTTATCAGACCAGCAGATGTATAGTTGTGTCAC